GATTTGCAATTCACGCAGCCTCTTTTGTTGATGTACCTCCTCTGCATGAAGGGGATAATTGGGCCGCTGTCACAGAGTCAGAGATTGTTTCTTTTTTTTTTTTTTTAACAATGTGGGGAACCTTGCAATAAATCAGGTCAGCTGTCAGAGCCATGTCACCAGACGAGGCATTAGTCAAATATGCAGAATAATCCTTGAACATACAATACAATGTAAAGAGGAATAGATCATTTATTTGAAGTCCAGATATGCCTAATTTTGTTCCACAAAGGAAGGGCCCATGGTGATTTGGTCTGGTGGATGAGCCTCGGGGTGAAGCAGCCATGAAGGTCTGGCTCTTTGTGCTGTCATTTCAGTACCAGCTAATGGCCTGTGCTTACTCTGTGCCGTGACTTTTCAACCCACTGTGACAGTGAATCATACACGGCACATAAGGCTGGATTCTCAGCCATGTCATCCGTGTAGCGGAAGCTGAATATGTTGAGTGCCACAGACAGGTAATCCATAGCTGTATCAGTAGAAAAAAACACAAGTTCAGTGAATTGTTTCGATAGCAGGCAGAGACCAAGGGCTAACAGAGCGTGAAAGACAGGCGAGGTCGTGGAAAGGTTATTTCTGGGTCCAGGAGGTGAGACTTTGGGGATGCGGACACGTCAGTCCTGCAGAGTCCTCAGGTCAATGTGAAGACAAGTGGAAGACACATTTCTCTGTCAGCACGCAGAGAGCCCGCACGGGTTCAGGCTTTTGTCGTGAAGTCCCAAGTCATTGAGTCAATAGCCAAGGAACATGACACAACCTCTCAGAGTCACTCGGCATCAAGCGGAACAGGGAATGGCATGCTTTCCATTTCACTGCACCGTGGCCCCACCGAGACCCCGTCTGCACTCGAGAAACAGGAGAGCTCTCAGGCCCCGGCTCTCGCTTAAAAGCAGCGCTTCAGCCTGGCCCTGGACACGTACACGGCTCCCTCGGAGCAGTCAAACAAGGTGATCCACCGGTCAATCCATAACCCTGACTATTATCTCCTCCGGCTGTTGTATCGTGGCTGTTCGGGGGGAGGGATAACCACAGGGCCGGGATGACAGGAAATTAGATCATGGCAAAGCACAAGCACATTTCGATTAAACTGATGTCAGGATTTATCTTCCTCTGTCAGTGCGCTTCAACTGAGGAGAGAAAAAGTGACCTTTCACTTTATCTGACCATGTAAAGTCTTTCATTATAAACACGGCTCTGCATGTCATTTATAAACTGTGTCATGTAGCTTTCAAGAGATGACTTTTACAGAGATTAATTTTCCTTTAGGTTTGTATCAATAACATTATCCCTGTACCACAACCCTCATGCTGTGTGCCGTGTGCATTATTGTATTTCAGAGAGCCAAAATTTAAAAATTTGTAATCTTTTATAAGATTTTCTCCTGGTTCATGTCCTGACCTCTCAAATTTAATTTTTTGCCTGTTGAAGGGTCTGTGATGGGCCCAGGCTGAGAACAACTCAATAACTCAGACAGCGGCTGCAGTTGTTTTGTTTCTCAAAGTTTTACTTCTACTGAGCTCAACGACATTTCCTCAAATTTTAGGTCCTGCCCTGGAAAATCTTTGCTTGTATTTCCATGAAATTGAACATCGCCCTCTGTAAAGAGATTTCTTTATTTTTTTTAAATGTTTGATTTTCTTTTGGAAACTTTGCAGAAACATTGACTTTTTAAAATGTTGTTGTCCCGCTCCCAGCTTACAAGCACCAGGAAAGAATCCATTTAGTAACAGAAGCATGTCACCTGTCCCCTACAGAAGGTGGCAATATGCCCCCTTTCAACTCAAAGAAAACACCCTCACCTTTACAGTTCTGCTTTATTTGTGTAATGCTTTGTCCTTTGTCATAGTCTTTTCAATTATTTAGGTCCCCCCTTTGTCCTCTTTGTGAAGCACTTTGGGCTGCAGGCTTGTGTGTATGAAAGGTGATGAATAAATCAAAATCAACTGATTTATGTTTATTACTGTTTATGTCCTGAGTGTTAGTGAACATTTTTAAAACACTAATATTTCCCAGTTTGAACAATACGTTCTAGTTTTCACCGATTTATGTGCCAAAACAATGCGCCAAGCTTCTAATACTTACTTGTCATTAAATATACAGTACATGTTTCTATCACTGTCGGTGTTTTAACCATAGACTGTATATAGAATGGACAGAGTCTGCCTCCTTGCTGGGTGAAGCCACTCCGAGAACAGCACCCTCTGTTGATGGGCTGCAGTAAAGGTCATAAATCCCGCCTCTGCCAGCAAAGCTTATGGAGCTGTGGACAAACTTTAGAAATTTATTACACAGAACATAATTTTTTCTCCCCCCTGCTTGTGATGTTGACATGTAGTTACAGTCAGACTGTTTTGTGTTCAAGTCCTCTTTTTTCTGTACAGCTCCATTTTTAAAAGTTATTAGAGGGTTCATGTTTTCTATGATTGACAGCTGGTACAGCCCAAGGGTGTATTAAGATTGCCTAGCTCACCCATGGCAGAGCAGTGTATTATACAGAATGGCGACACTCCCATAGGCATACGCTGTACAGCCCGACGGACCCCACTTCCGGGTTATGGAACTCTCAATAGTTCCAACATGGCCGCCTATCACGTTGAACCCCGTTCACTTCTACGGCCACAAGGCAAGCACTCACCGAGGTAAAATGATAAAATATCAAAAAGTTTAATGCCAATACATGTGTTATTGATATCGAGGGGACCCCTTTATATGTAAAAATGTATGTCCCGAATGTAATTACGTTTTTTAGTCATTCGATTTTTTTAGCCACGGCTTGCTCCCACACTCCCAGACATAAAATATTGTAATGCCAATACGTGTGTAAATGGTATCGAGGGACCCCTTTACATGTAAAATGATTTTAATTTTAGTATGCTCAAATTGTAATTACAAATGTAATTACGTTTTTTTTTAGTTAGGAATTGGGATCGATTTTTTAGCCATGGCCTGCTAGTTGGACGTTGTCAGCTGTAGAGGCCTGCCAAAATTTATTGTGTGACTGAGTTATGAATCACAGATAAATCATCATCATCAATCATATGTTGAGATTTCAGCCTTTATCAGTACCCAATGTTATGTGCAATTTATTCTTTTTAGACTAACATAAGAGCTATGTAATTTGATTTCTGCTTATGGGATGATAGAGTTAAGGGACCGCTACTTGTATGTATGTTCAACATGGAAAAATGTTATGCAGGCCATGCTGCAAGACCAAAACATTACACAATTGTTTAAACAGCTTGTAACACCTTACTTACCACTTTATTGTATTATTTTCTCTAATTAAAAAGTAACACCTGTTACCGCTTTATGAATGATATGCTCTCCAGCCCAATCCTTTTATTAAATCTAATCTATTTGAACTTTGAACAGACAAAAGAGGAGACCAATGAACACTGCTCCGTTGGATTCGGCTGCTTGTGGTTTCTGAAGATTTCTGAAGACATTCTGAAGAGCTTCTCTGTTATTCACCGCTGCTGCTGTAGTGTGGAAATGTGGGAAAATGTGGCCCAGTGCTTGAACTGATTTTCATGTGACCAGATGTGTGTTTGAAAGTGATAATAGCAGTCAACTCTCACCTGCATTGACATTAAATCATACATTATACATGCATACACGTTATTGATGACAAACACGTCTGGTTTTACAATATTAGTTTATTTTGAGCCTTCTCATAATTTTTTGATTGATTTTTTTCTTGTTTTCACACACACACACACACACACACACACACACACACACACACACACACACACACACACACACACACGTGGTTGTGACATTCACTTAAATTGCCCACATAAAATCTCTGAATGAAAACCATCATTCATCATCATTGTCCAATGTAAGAGAGTGTTCAAGAATAGCCCTATGTTGCTAAATAAGAGATCACTTTGCATCAGGTTATATTCCAGTTAGTGAAGCTAGCAAAGTTTTCCCTCCAAAAACACACCCAGACAAACTTGTCTTATTTCACTTTTATTTGTCATCCAGCCACTAAATATACGCAAGTGACTTTGGCTTGTACACAATAATCCAATAAGAGTTGCAAATGTTGACTTTTTACGGTTAATTTTAATATTTACCTCTTATTTGAGCGATCACTGCAGTCTGTCCCGTTAAGGAGCAGGGACAGTGCAGGCTGTGCTTGGAACTACTGAGGGGTACATGAACCACGTGACCGCACCAGCGTCGAGATCTGAAGTTGTCGCCACTCTGTTTAATCCACTGCTCTGACCCGTGGAATATACTGTTTGAGCCGAGCGTCATCACAGCAACTCTCGGCGACTGCGCGCCCAAATGGGCGCATCGCTACTGCTCGGCGCTGGTTTCAGGAAATGAAGAAAAATACAGAGAGCTATTTGGCTTCAAATCCGTATACAGGCGGTAGGCGGGACCAAGTTGTCCATAGTGTATACAGTCTATGGTTTTAACCAATAAAAAACAGAGATTGTTATCCCAGCCTACCATACTGACAGGACCTGCTGCTTAATACCAGGTAGGTCAGCTATCATGCTGGAACATTGACATAAACAGGTGTAACATTTAATGTTGACATTGTGAATAATAATGTCAGTTTGTTTGTGATTTTCCCAGGTTAGAGCGTGAACGATCGATGAGAGGTTGGGAGGGGTTAGCTTCAGTAACCTTTTGTAATCTGTCAAAATGATGGACAGCCTTCAAGTTTTCATTATTCCAAAAATTCTGTCGAAGAAGAAAAGAAAAGAAAATATTTGTTTAACCTCCGCCTGCAGACTTTGTGCTGTTTCACACTGCTAAAAAAAATCTGGTGTTGACAGATTTTTGGCTGTCGGCTGCGGCAGGTGTTAGATAGATTGAACAGTTTATTGAGTTTGGCATAATGAATACAAAAACTCAGTTTTTTAGTGGTGTGAAAATTACCTCAGTGAATTTAGATTAACCCAATAAACCTCACTGTGAGTAATAGACAGACAGAAAAGGTCATGTTAAAAACAAAAATAGTATATTTAATGTATTTACAATAAACATACAATCATGTAATCTTTTCCAAGAAATATACAGAACATAAAGCTTTTAAATATAAAGTCATATAATTTAAAGAAAAAAGAAAATAAATCCAAAGAAGCAATTTCTAAAAATCTTTAGTGATGCTTTGAAAATATAGGTGATATTTTTTTATTTCAATGCCCTTTTCTGTTCCACGGTCCTTCTGCATAGAGCCATGAAATCAAAACAGTGAATACCACCCACAATAGAAGCAAACACATCACTCTAAAACCATCACTAACATGGTTAGCACATGGTTTCACTTGAATTAAAGGCAACATGCTGCCTGAAGGCCCAAACCAGAGATTATCTACCTGCATACGAAGAGTTTGCTTCCAAAATAACAGTCATCGTTTTGAAAAGAGGCCTAGAAAGAACTAACGGCAACAAAAAGAAATCATGGACTTATTTACAGATAAACTGCCCATTGATGTTCAAATGCCTGTTGTGTGACAAAGCTCAGGACCGTTTTTTTTTTTTTATTTTGTTTTTCTGTTTTGTTTTGTTTTTGCCCTTGAATGTATTTTGGGAGTAAACTCTTCATATGTCTGGACTTCTGTCACTAAAGATCTGCTATAAAATTCAGCCTGCTGTTACCACAAGGCAAGGTCATCAAAAGAGAATAATGAGAAAAATAGGATGTAAAAAAAAAAAAATTATGCTTCAAAGGTTTTTCTCATCACAAGGCAAAACAGTCCTGTCGCCACAGGTGAATGCAAGGTCAAGCATGGGACAGACCTACAATATGTTGTCTTCTTGTTCTTCATCATCTTCTTCTTTGCGAGTGTTGAGTGTTACAGTGCACAGGTTGATATGGCACAACGTCAGTAAGTCTCAGAGCTTAATATCCAGGCACAGGTGCAGGACTGCTATCAGTAAAGTCTGGCTGCTTTTTGTCTACAGTCAGCCTCTTCTACTGTGCAATGTCAGGCTGTAGCTTAACATTGGTGCCACTTATCTGAAGCAAAGTGTTGTTTTTATTTGGACCAAAGCAACACACAGTTATCAGCTCTGCCACTGATGGAAAGAGAGTTTATTCTAAAGTAGACAATACCGTCACTAGTAGAAAAGTCCTACATATTAACAGTTATTACATCCTAAATAATACTGTTTTCTAGATCCATGTACAATATTTTATAGGCAATATGTTTTCGGGACATTTTTGTATGATATGGTGAAAGTAAGTTGAGGGATATCACAGAAAGGCTACATACAGCTGGAGGATCTGCTCTGAGCCCCAGCGTGCTGAGACAGAGATCTCTGCAGGACGTCACAGAACACTTCTATGGTGTCACTTTGGCACTTGTATGGCACTATTATATACAGAGGAGTCAGCACTATGACACACTGGACGGTACAGTTATCAAAGACAGCGCCACCTGTTGGCAGAAGCCGAGGAGGAGACGGTGGCGAGCTGGTACTGTTAGTTAATGCTCTCCTCCTTTTTTTCAAGCTTTGTTTTGAGTTGTTTGTACATCCCAGCATAATAATGTCCAGCTGTCCTGAATATCCTGCTGGGAACAGTCCATTTGTACTCAGTGCCCCATTTTATTCTTTTTAAGAAATTCAAGTCTCAGTAAAATGCTAGAAATCTGTATTCAAACTCTAGTAGTTCACATCAAGCCAACTAGCCATACTTAAGTCTGGTGTGGTTTGGCATGGCTCCATGTTGAATTCAGGTCCATTCAAATATTCTACAACTTCCCATTTTCCCTATTTAGGGTTTTATTGTTATCTGTATTAATTATGGTGCTCAATAACCACAAATGGATAGTTTTAATCTTATACTATGAGTTCAACTTCACTTAACACATCTTATATTCAAAGTAGGTCCAATTTAACTTTCATCTGCACAAAATAAAGTGCCCATAAACATTAGTGGCAGCATAAAATAAGACTAAATCATGTGACTTGTTAAGGGTGTTTGAGGGGTTCAGGAACTCAAACTAGCATTGTGGGAAATATCTCTAATCTTCCAAGAGGAACAGATTTGATACCATAAACATGTATGTGAATAGGAAGCTGAGACAAACAGCTGGTTAAACTAGAAAAAACATCCAAGGTTCATTTATCTATTGTATTGTATTTTATTTATTGTATTGTATTGTATTTTATTCTTGGCTTGGAAACTGACCTGGGTACTAATTTTGTACCACAGACATCAAAGGTGTGGGGTAGGACAAATAAAGTTCCTTGAATCCTTGAATTTCTCAATTATTCATTTTTCTGTAGTTAATTGATGTTATTTGCATTTTTAATTACTTTTTACTTAACATTATTTTGTATTTTTAAACAGTTTTTAAGTCCATATGAACACAAATACAATGCTTTGGGAATCAAATGATACAGTAAAATGTATTTCATGAGCTTCTACATTTATTATTCTAATATTTGCTGCACTGATACACCAGTGTGGTCTGAAACTATAACTAAGAAGTGGGAGACAGCTTCAGGTTTACACTCCAAATAAGTCCTCTGCTGTCTTTTGTGTGGTGGTCTGATAAGCTGCATCTGCATGCTTAGTTTGTAAAAACCCCGAATAGTGGCATTTAGATTTAAAACTGACCTGTCTTTGTGCCAAGCTAAGATAACCAGCAAAACGCTACAGCTGATGCTTCCTCCACATATACGACACTGGTATCAATCTATTCCTTTAACTCTGGACATGAGGATTAATAGGCTTGTTTTCTGACATGTTAAACTTAGTCCTATCATCCCCACATTGAAAACGTTGGAAGAAATAACATGTTTTAGAGACAAAATCTATCAGCATGGTGAGTGGCCAAAAAATGGGCCAATTTTTTGATGCTAAACATATGAAATACTTACAAAGTAAGGCAGGAAAAACTATATATTTTCTCTATAAACTTGATATGTCAGAAAAATGAATCCCTCAGAATTCTTTTAAAATAAATATTTAAAATAAAATAAAATAAACTGTGTGTAGACAACCACTGCAGTGTGAGTGATCATTAATCAGTCCCGGTTTGTTAAAAATTGTCGACATCACAATGCAGTATGCATTATAAAGCTTCTCCATCGTGGTAAATTTAAGTTAAATCTGTATTTAACAATTACCACGGCCACTAAAGCACAGAGTCTGTCTGTGCAGCTCAGTGACATCCTGAATATTTCTTTGTTCTTATTGCATGCATTGCCAGCATGCTTTTAAATGTACTAATTCTGGCTGGACACTGTGCGTCATGCTATGCTGTGTCTGCTGACAGCTAGCCCACCACCATCATCACGTCTCACCGCCTCGTCTTGGCGTTTTTCTCACATGCCTTCACACTCAGTCTGCTGTAACTGATTCTATAAGTGGTGGCCCCCTCCCCCACAACCCACACCTGCTTTGGCCTTACTACATACAAACGTCCCCCCTGGAGGGTCTTATTCAGAGGGTTCCCTGCTGGTTATTTATAATGATGCTACGTTTTCCATGCATTGCTGCTGCAGGGAGCGTCCCCAAGAGTAGAGTAAATCGTCGTCAGTTTTTTCTCCATTTTTCATCAACATTTGTGTTTTTAGCAGAGATTCAGTGGTGGTCACATCAGCGGTCAGAGAGAGAGAGTCATGTGACTTATGTGTCATTAGAGGTTCTGTCACTGAATCTGTCCATGTGTTTTTATTTCATAAGTTATAGGAGGGCCACCTGACTTCTTTGTCCTGCCTCATTGTTTATTTTAACAAGTGGTGCTATAAAGCATCATGAACGGGACCCAACTGCAACAAAGCTTCTCGTTTCTCCTGAACTCAAGTCCAACCCTCTCCTCCCTCATTGGTTCTTCCAATTTGCAACTTTTCCTCCACCCTTTCTCTGTTTCTCTCCATCCTCCTATCTGTGGGGCACTGGGGGGGGGTTGTCATGGCCTGAGATCTGCAGCAGATCAAAGCAGGTTCCCAGATAAATGGCAGCAAATAAATTGAGAGTTATTATTTCAATATAATCAATGAATAATTGTAATCTCATTGGTTTGGTCCTCACTAAGGAAGAACTATTTCTTATAAGTTGCACCAAATTTAAATAGAAAAATCGCTGAAAATCAACAAAATTGTATAAATATGATATAAAAAGAAGCTCTGCAGCTCAGAAATCAACAAAATAGTCTACACAAGTTCTCAGTACTCATAGCAAAACTCTACTCTATGACAAAGTAAAGGGATAAAATGAAACACACAAGTCTCAACGCTCTACCTTCACCTGTGGCCCAAAGGCTATGAAGAACTAGCCTGGCTGGGCCATCCAGGCTAATGAAGAACTACTTTTTAAATGTTTAACAATCTGAATTATATATGCAACAGAAAGTCTAAAATTAAAAGTCCCATATAATGATAGTTCTGCTGTTGACAACACTGTTATCATATAAAGCTAGATGCCTCACGACCCTGCCCAGAATGCGCCAAGACCGCCGCCATCTTGGAGTGGTGCTTGTCAATGGTTTTCTATGGGCTGACATTTTGGAAGCCTGTGGTTTACCTGACAACAGCATTTGTTTACATTCAACACCACACTTACCAGCAGTCATCGGTACTGCTCCAAGATGGCGGCGGCCTTGGCGTATACACTGCCGTTGTCTTATATTGGTTGTGAAGTATCTAGTATTGATATCTATGGTTGACAACATGTGCTATTTGTCTTTTAATTTGGTTGCAAAAAAACAACAATAATTCAGCCTCTCAGTTTCTAACCTGATTATCCATGCAGGGATCGGAGTGAGCAGGGAGGCACTGCAACAAAAATAAAATGGTGAGTCCTCCAGGAAGATTCAGGTATCACATAAAAAGTCTGTGTGATAGAATTTGCTGATGATGATAAAAAAATGACTCTAGCTGCACAAACAGTTTTGAGACAAGCTCCCTGGTGTTATTCATTCAAGACCTGCTTTAAACACCTCTTAAATTGGCTTAATCTGGAACCAAAACTAAGTTGTTAGCAGATGCTAACCAAGTCCAAAAACTACCTAACCTGATTCTCTTCCTCTTCACACGATTCAGCTGATGTAACCAGATCTGTCAGGGAGGGAGTCGAGGACTGGTTTTGCTAGCAAGCGTATCAAATTAACTCCTGACAGTACATCATCCCAGGAGTCAGTTCAAGTCGCCTCATGGAGGATACATTTTACCGGCCAGTGCTAGAGAAACAATGTGGAGGCTCGTTAACTTCATATTCTCAGGGCTGAAGGATGAATGAAGTTTATATGTTTATATGTATGGAAGAGGAAAATGCTGTTTTTCATTACATGGGACCTTTGAGACTTATGTCTTCTTCTCCTGGTGACACAATGACAAATAAAATCTGATCCCTCACAAATACTATTGCAAATTTAATTTATGAGAAACGTTTTGACATGTAGACTCTGCCATCATGATTTATTTTAAAAGGAGATCTTATAAAAATCTTCCACTCTCGGTTGAGTTGGTTTTCCTTTGTGCACTGTATGTCGGGCCTCATTAGCCACCATAGTAAATACATCTCTTTGTCTTTTTTCATCTAAGTTAAGTTTAACTTGAAAATCAGAAGGAAGAAACACCTACTGCTGCTCCAGCCTTGAGTTAAATATGCCTTATCTTGTTGTGAACAGTGAACCTTTCTATCAAATATCTGGACCTGAGAAGAGCTACCTTCTGTAGGAAAATAACTGTCTAATGATGATGACAAATGACCCAAGTTTTTGTATTTCTTAAAAAAAAAACTTGAGTCTTCTTACGAATGTAAACCTGGTGTCACTGCAGTTTGAAACTAAAGATTGTTCTGGTTCTTTCAGAGTGTGGTTCAGATTTTGCAGGGATGTTTGCTGCATGTCACTTCTCATTTCTTTTCTCGTGTTTGCTGTCAGTCTCTATTCTGCTGTCAAAGACAAATTTGATGCTAGATTATGATTCTGTTTGACAAAAACAGTTTGAGGAGATCATGTGTGTTTTGGTAGAAAATAAAAAGTGCAATGTTGATACAGAGGCATAATTTGTTTTGATTTGTTTGATGTTTTAAATTTGAAGAAAATAAGATCCTCACCGTGAACATTCTCCTGAACTGAAACCAGAGAAACATCAGTCTCACATTAATGGCCTCCACTCCTCTGTCCACTATAAAACTGACTCCATGTTGTCGCACATCTCGTGGTCCTCCAGGTTGTAAATGAACTTTGTCCTGTTGGCTGGATTCTGGGTGATCTCTTTGCCCAAATTGTCCAGGGTCACGTTGGAGGCAAAGAGTTCGGTGGGTGTGAGGTACCCCTCACTGTTCTTGATGTACTTCTTGTAGTTCTTCCTCAAACACTGCCATGTGGTGGCGTACAGGAGGAAGGCAGATGACTTGAGGACGATGGCGATGCTGACATACAGGTGCCTGTAGGCCACGTTGTCGTACAGCATACAGGCGCCCTTCTCTCCGCAGACGGTGCTCCAGAACAGACAGGTGGAGTCGATGCCCATGCCAAAGATCAGGGGAGGGGGGATGAAGCCTGAGGGGATGGGGTGGAGGGTAGACAGACAGCAGGTCAGAGGGTCAAAAAGCACTCCAGTTTGTTTTCAGGAATCCTTTATATCTGCACAGACGGGCCGATGAAGTTCATTTCACCCAGGGGAAAACTCGCCCTGACATTTAAATCAAAGAGCTACAAAGTACAGAGCCACAGTGGACATGTCATGAACAAGATGGACAGGACAAACACAGCCGAGTGAGACCAACCATGGACACTGAAACACAAAGTAGAAACTACAAAGAGGGTTTTTTGGTGGATTTAAACACAAACAGTAAATAAATAGAGACAAACCTGTTCAATTTCTTACCTATCAGCCTCAGGAGCAGAAACAGAACACCAAGAGCGTACGATTTGAGCTCTGGACTCACAGTTCTGGAAAATAAAGAGAGGTTGAGCAGAAAGGACAGAAATTTAAAGTAGAAGAGAGTCAGAATAGAAATCCACTTCTGACATTTAACAGTGCCTAACTTACCAAGTTTACTTACAAAAGTAAACTACACATGCAGAAATATATACACACGTGGACAAAATTGTTGGTACCCCTCGGTTAATGAAAGACAAACCCACAATGGTAACAGAAATGACTTGAATCTGACAAGAGTACTAATAATAAAAAAAAATATGTGAAAATGAACTAATGAAAATCCGACATTGATTTTGAACTGTGGTTCAACAGAATTATTTTAAAAAATAAACTCAAGAAACGGGTCTGGACAAAAATGATGGTACCCCCAGAAAAGACTGAAAATAATGTGACCAAAGGGACATATTAATTCAAGGTGTGTCCACTAATGAGCATCACAGGTGTCTACAATCTTATAATTAGTCAGTGGGCCTGTATATAAGGCTACAGGTAGTCACTGTGCTGTTTGGTGACATGATGTGTACCACACTCAACAAGGACCAGAGAAAGCGAAGGAAAGAGTTGTCTCAGGAGATTAGAAAGAGAGTTATAGAACAGCATGTTTAAGGTAAAGGCTATAAGACCATCTCCAAGCAGCTTGATGTTCCTGTGACTACAGTTGCACATATTATTCAGAAATTAAAGATCCATGGGACTGTAGCCAACCTCCCTGGACGTGGCCACAGGAGGAAAATTGATGACAAACCAAAGAGACGGCTAATATGAACGGTAACAAAAGAGCCCAGAAAAACTTCTAAAGAGATTACAGGTGAACTTCAAGCTCAAGGAGCATCAGTGTCAGATCGTGCCATCCATCGTTGTTTGAGCCAAGTGGACGTAACTGGAGACGACCAAAGAGGAAACCATTGTTGAAAACAAATCATAAAAAAGCCAGACTGGAATTTGCCAAACTACATGTTGACAAGCCACAAAGCTTCTGGAAGAATGTCCTATGGACGGATGAGACAAAAATTGAACTTTTTGCCAAGGCACATTAGCTCTTTGTTCACAGACGGAAAAATGAAGCATATCAAGAAAAGAACACTGTCCCTACTGTGAAACATGGAGGAGACTCTGTTATGTTCTGGGGCTGTTTTGCTGCATCTGGCACAGGGTGTCTTGAATCTGTGCAGGGAACAATGAAATCTCAAGACTATCAAGGGATTCGAGAGATAAATGTGCAGGCCAGTGTCAAAAGGTTGGTCTCAGTTGCAGGTCATGGGTCTTGCAACAGGTCAATGACCCAAAACACACAGCTAAAAACACCCAAGCATGGCTAAGAGGAAAACATTGGACTATTCTAAAGTGGCCTTTTATGAGCCCTGACCTAAATCCTATTGAGCATCTTTGGAAAGAGCTGAAACATGCTGTCTGGAAAAGGCACCCCTCAAACCTGAGACTAGTGGAGACGTTTGCTCATGAGGAGGCCAAAATACCTGCTGAGAGGTGCAAAAGCCTCATTGACAGTTACAGGAATAGTTTCATTGCAGTGACTGCCTCAAAAGATTGTGCAACAAAATATTAAGTTAAGGGTACCATCATTTTTGTCCAAGCCTGTTTCATAAGTTTATTTTTTAAATAATTCTGTTGAAGCATGGTTGAAAAGCAAAGTCTGACTTTCATTGGTTAATTTTCATAGAATTTTTATCTAATATTACTTTTGTCAGATTCAAGTCATTTCTGTGAGTTTCATTAAACGAACTTTAAAATTTGTATTGTATACAAATAAAAAATTGTATATTATAAGGTGGAAAACACTTATTTGTATTGCACAGGTAGAATGTTGTGTATTTTAAAAGGGAGATGCTAATTTATCTGTATTGCACATATAGAAACATTTCATCTTACGGGAGAACCTGATGTGTAAGACCCACGTGGAAGAAAGGCAGGAATACTTAAGACAGGTAGGAAATATAAATGCACAGATAGAAATTGTAAATGTAAACATTACAGGAAGAAAAATAAAACTCCTTGTGTTATCAAAAGTAAAAGTATTGCTCTTCCAAAGGAAATCATTGCACAAGGAAATCAAAGAGATATAAATGTTAGAGGAGAGGGGATGACACAAAGAACAGAGCCACACAGCCATTAGTATTATAATAAGTTGACTAAAGAGCTAAACAATGAGCAAGGTAGGAGAAATCCACTAAGTCCTTTCAGTAGTATGAGCTCAGAGGACAAATCATGAATTCAAACTTATCTCACTTCTGTCAATTTAAAAGTGGAATCATGTGTAGGTGATTAGTATAAAAACTAGCCATCTAATCTAATTTAACATTTAGGTTGTTTAATTTTTTTTTGTTGAGGCTTTCAATTGGGTGTGTTTTGCTGTTTTTTATTTTATTATTGTATATCTTTGGATATGGAAATATTGTCAAAAAGGTCATGGTCTCATAATGTGGCTGATGGTCTGTTTTGTTTTTGTTGTGCATAAAGAGGCCTAATTATTGATAACATTTTTCATACCCTTCTTTTTGATGTCCTTCAGTATTCCTGAATGCTGTAAGTAACGAGCTATGTGTGTTTGTCAGTATATTGACCAGTTTAACATGCCAACAGCTCTCTCTAGTGGACAGTCTGGGTCTTGCACTCTGTCTCCTCACCTGATGAGGATGATGACAGAGGGAGTCTGGGCCATGGCTCCGATCATGCTGCACACACAGATCACACAGAGGAAGGTAAGGAAGGCCTGCTGGCAGCCTGGACTTGGACACTTCCCCGGTAAAGCCACAGCATCTTCAGTGGTGCTGGATATGCACGTACAGCTGGTCAGGTTCTGATGCAGAGACAAGATGATGAGAAGCTGTCATTTCACCATAAAGACACAGATCTGGATCAGCCCTGCTGCCGTATGCTGTGCATGTTTTGTAAATGCTCTGCCCCCCTGTTATTTAGCTGGAGCTCCCCTGTGTCTAGGAAGCTGTTGCAGTGCTGTAGTTGTATCATTCTGAGTCAAACATTAAGTCTCCAGTGCTCAAGTCTGAGTTCAGTCCGAATCACCAGCAGAGAAACCAAGTCCTGTCTGAGTTAGGTTCCCTTTCTCTGAGTCCAAACCCCAGTTGGGTCCTTATTGACTGAGGATTTATAAAGAGGATCTGTATTACTGTATGACCTTCACTGACTGTGTTTGACCTTTTAAAACACATTTCATTTACATCAGCATGAACAGAGATTTAAATTTTTTAATGTGTGTGTAAATGCTTACCCCTTGTCTCTCAGTGGGCAAACATAATCATCCTTCTGCTGCCTTAGGATCACTGCAGATGTCTAGCAAACTCAATTTACCTGCGACCCATCCATTTTCATCAGAATTTGAACTAACAAACTCTCTTTGACAGCTCCTGTTAGCCAGCAGCTTGCTTATAGTAACAGTGCAAACAACTTTAGACTGGGTTTGGACTCTGGAAATATGTCTGAATGTTGAAGTTTTGTTGTCTCCTTGGAGTTTCTTTTACATGCAGAACATGTTGCTCTGCTCTTTTATAAAACCCTCAATTCATGGCACCTCTCCACACATCCCAGAGCTCTGCAAAAACTCAAAACAAAGCAAGAGTTTTTCTCTTACTTCTAGTAAATATATACTGTAAGGCTAAATATGAGCCACATGTACCTGACGAAGAAGAGTAGGTATGTTGTTTCGAGACACCTGAATCAATAAGAAAGTCCTGAATTGCATTTAATGTGCAAAAACTGTACTAACAGACACAACCACAAAAGAGTCTTGTCATGTTTCTTAAATAAATAAGGACATCTCTCTGATATCAAGAAACTGAAATTAGTTTTGCTTTCACCACGGGCATCATATTATATCCATCAAAAGCAATTCGAACAAGACTGTACTTGTCAGGAAACTGTGGCTTTGTTTAGTCTGTTGAAATAGTTTTTAATCTAAATATAAAGAAAAAGATAAGCTGAGATTTTTTTATGGTAACAGCAGCTGAACAAAAGCTGCTGCAAATTGACAACATTATTCTGGACTTACACCAAAGAATAGTAAATACATTCATAAATAGATAGTCAGTATCAGTAATTATGTTAAAGTCCTACTGTCCATCTTTGGAATTTGAATGCAGTCAATGCTGAGGTTCAGGTCTTTGTCAAACAAGCCCTGAAAAATAAGAGTCAGAGTTCTACATCTCTGTTTACAGTCAGGGTCAAAGTGCAAACAGTCTTATTCAAGTAAAACTTAAGCAACTTGTCAAAAGGATTTAAGAATGACTTTTTTTTTTTGGCTCTTCTGTGCAAAGCTAACAAATTTGGGAGATCATTTGGAGTGACTAAAACTTAAATCCTTGTAACTCCAAATAAGATGAACTAAAAACATCCATTTTCTTCCACTTATGGGCAGAAAAATAAAAACAGTCTGAAAATAAAGAGTGCTTGAAGACTGGTCTGCTGCTTTTAATCCAGTCGGGTGTTCACCTGTGTTGTCTCCTCAGAGACAGTGTCAGTATGGTTTCACTGCTCTAAAGAAGTATCTACATATATCCAAGCCCAGCGTTTCACTCACTGGTTTGGTGCAGCCAGCGAAGCAGGCTGAGAGGTAGGTGACTCCGTTGGATCCACAGACAGGGCTCACTGATGCTGTGTAGCAGTTACAGTTATTGATGCACGCCGACTCAGGCCGCTGCCAAGACAGCAATGTCCTGCAGAGGAGGTCAAAGGTCATGTTGGAGAATGCATGTGCACAAGAAAAGCTGAAGACAAAGCACCTTCTTTCAAATGAAAGGATTTTTATTGTTGTTTGTTGCACATACTGTACAGTTGTAGCGCACAAAGATGGGTCTTAACCGGGACACTAATCAGAGGCTGTAAGCCTAAAAACAATCCTTGACTTTGAATTTCCCTTGTTATCCTGCTCATGATCTACTCTTCATTGTCAGTTTGATTTTGGGTCTTGTTTTTTCCGGTTTACTAAAAAAGAAAAATCACCTCTGCATTTATAAAAACACTCAAAAGTTTCATCCCACAGATGGTCAGTAAATCAGCAGAATGAACAAAATGATCTTTAAATCAGCTTTCTGAGGAAACAAGAACACTATATCAAAAGTAGAAAACATTGCTGGTTCTGTTAATGCACAGTCTTGGTGAGAAGCTCAAATAATTGGCACTAAACTCTCACAGCTTTATCATTTTGTCCTTCAGTTTGGTCAGTTCTTGGCTTGTTTAAAGGCCTATGCACAGATGTGAATACTGCAGTAAAGCTTGGCTGTATACATGTTTGCAGTTAAGGCTACATTGGCTGGTTTAATCTGAATGTACCAGCAGCGACTGACACTTCTGTTCTCTCTTCTTTTGTCATTTCATAGCAGTAAGCCAGCACCACATGGTGAGTCTACAACAAAACAAAACAAGTTCACTACAAAACAAGTCAACCAAGTTAATGATCTATATTAAGACTCACCAAAGCTCCTCTTGTTATTCAAACTACCTTGTACAAGCTGTGCTCTCACTAAGACCAGCCAACTTTGCTCCACTAACTACAGACCCTGTCAGTAACATAATGACATATTGTACTTCTGTGAAACTGGATTCAGTAGGCTCTGCCATTTCTGAAAACTTATCACAGTGAACTTGACCCCATCTGAAGGCACCACTGCCCGCCGTATTTCTACAGTGGCCCAGAATGGTCAAAACTTACTCACTCAAACTTGTTAATAGAAAGCATTTCGATCTAGAATCTCAATGCTAGATATTGCTTTATATTTGTATTTCTACACACTAAACCTTTAATTCCTTAATAAATGTTTCAGTTAGAGTTATACATGTACAATGACTTTCTCTGAAGTAACAAACAAAGTTCATTTGACATTTGTGAAAAAAATAGAGAAACAAGAGAGAGAACCACAAAACACGTTTGTGGAAACTCTTGTAAACACTGCTTATTCAGATCAGGTCACTTATCACTTACTCGTTGCTGTAGGCAACCGTCACCCCCGCCACAGGCCCAGTGTCACAGCCCAGAAAGAGGAAGGAGACGTAGCAGGCAGTGGACACCAGGTTTACCAGCATGGCCATACGGACGGCGCCCAGAGCTGACAGGTTCAGCTTCTTCACCAGCAGACCCCCAAGGAAGATCCCCAGACAGGCACAAGGGATCGCTGTCATACCTGAGGAGGAAAACACAATTTCTTCTATTGTCTGTTCTATCAGCTGACGTTCTTGAATTGTCATGACCCTCATTTACGTCTTCCCTCGGTGGCTTCATGGCAAAATAACTGAAAACATTTGGGAGCCAAAAGGGTTTTCTTGTCAAGATGAGTTCATGACCTGCCTACCTAGTAGCTGATTAGCTGAGGAGGTGGTGAGGTTAAACTGCTGCTCCAGGTATTTTCCCAGAAAAGCAGCAAAGCCAGCAACCACAGCGATCTCCATGCATGCTGCTAGTGTGATGCAGCTGAACACCGGGTTGGAGAGAAGGTGCCTGGTTACCCGCGGGATTACTGAGTCATCGGAGGAGAAAACGAAGATAGAAAGGTGGAGATAGGTGTCAGAACAGGCAGAGAGAAAAGACAGAACAGTGAAATCTCTTAATATACGTTCCTCCTTACCTCTCAGGTGCTCACAAACAGAGAGTCCACTGTTTAGGTCAAAGCCATAAATAGCCCCATTGGGTTTGGAGCCCTGGTACTCCATAGATAAGGAAGAAGGTAGCATGGCCTGTTCACTCTCCCCTCCTCGATCCATGTCCTGCTCATCCAGGGCCTGAGGGAACCCGAACATGAAGAGGGCCGACAGAAAGAGTAAGGCACCGCAGAGGAGGAAGCCGCCCCACCAAGCCCCGATCCAGCGAGGGTCATCCGGGGTGATGTCCAGCTTACCTGGACAGAAGGTGGAGGAGGTACACCAGAGAGATCGATTAGACTCCAGAGACAGACTCCAGAAAAAAGACCATCTGCCCACAAGTTTCTTTTTCAGTGTTTCTGTTGAATATTTGAATCACAAAAAGTAAAATGTTGATGAAGACACAATTTGATTGATTATAAATAATATTTTAAGCCTGTTCGATAAAAATGATAAAAATGCATCAGATATTGAAGCTAAAAAGATAATATTACTGAAAACAACTGTTGTTTTAGATATGATGCAAGTCACAGAGGCAAGTTCATCCCATCTGTAAATGATGCTCCAAATGTTTTCGATGGGTGGCAAGTCTGGACTGCATTCAGGTCAGTTTCAGGTTTTGTCTACTACAGGGCTATGCTGTTGTTATATAAACAAAATAGAGTTTGGCTTGAATGTGGAAGGTTTCTCCTAAGATAGGTTTTATCTGAATGGCAGCACATGTTCCTCAAAAATCTGTATTTACTGTCTCACATTAATGACTCCATCCCAAATGTGACAATCAGGGATGATGGTTTTTCAACGGTGCACTGGTAATAAGCCAGGTGGTCCCTCTTCTCTTCAGAGCCAGGGTCTCATTATCAGTGATTCCCAAAAAGAACATCTAAACAACCGTTTACCTGAGTCTACTGAAATGGGCTCGGCCTGGAGAAGTTGCTGGCATTTTTGGATCACAATGAGATGTGGTTTCCTTTCCCACAAAGTTTAAACCTGCCTTTGAGGCTTTAGCAGTGCACTGTCTTCACAGATGATGTTTTTTGGGAGGGGATTTTTAGCCCATGCTGTGATTTCCACTGCAGAGTCATGTCCAATGCCATGCGATGGTCCACAGATCATGGCCATCCAGTATTGTCTATTTATTATGAGATTCTCTAAATGAACTATTAGCTAATGCAGTCTCTCACGAAGTTGTTAACCTCTTCCAGTCTTTAACACTGAGAGACGCCGCCTCTACGCAGCACCTTTTTTATAGCAAGCCATGTTACTAACCTACTGCAGTTGAACCCCATAAGTCAAGAGCAGCTTTTCCAGGTTTTTTTGTTCATATCAAACAACTCATGAAGTGTTTTTTGCCCTCAGCTGACAACAACTTTAATGAGCATAAATTTTTCACAAAACAAGATGTCTTCATTTCAAGGACTACTATGTTGTCTTCTTAGTATCTTTGTTTAGATATAGATTTCTGATTTTCAAACCAACAAAATCTGTTTTTATCAACATTTACAAAGCATCCTAATATTATAAGAAATGGGGTTGTTACATGATGTTACGTAGATTAACAGAGTAACAGTGTGTAAACAAGCTATACAACATACAAGGATATAAAGGATATTTCTTTAAGAAATACAAAGAAAATGGCCAACTCACTGGTGTCCATGAAGACAGCATCAACATAGACTTTGGTACAAACAGAACCTAAGATGAAGCCACAGGCCGGGCCGAACACTAACGTTGAAAATAAAATACCTGCAGGACAAAGAGAGGAAGAAAAGAAGACAGTCAGATTATTTAAAGCACCATCAGAAAAAAACAAGGATGTTTCAAGGTCAAAGCATTTTCCTCAACAAAATTATTGAGATAAAAACACTTAAATATTGTAGTATTCCTTCAATAAACAGCACAGTTTTTTTCAATTATTATTATTTTACAGTCATCACTGTGAAACTATGTGAGCTACAGCAAACAAACAAGAACCTGTTCATAACAGCTATGCCCACTAAAATGCATTTCACCATGTCATTCAGCAGAGGGTAGCATTGTGTGGCGTCTGTAAAACTCAGCTTCTAAGTCACATTATTAAATAACCAGCAGTGTGGAGCATCCTACCACAAAGACTCAAATCCACTGCAGGTACTGAGTACCACATTAGTCCTGAGTTCAGGCCAAGAGAGCTTAAATTTGATCAGATATCCCCCACTGACAGACTTATGGACTGTCAGTGTAATATGCAGCTCATAGGTTGCACAGCATCATTGATCTTAGACTGAATTATCTCAGAGGATCATAAATAATCAGGCAGGAAATGAGCTCTTATTGTGAGCAGCCCAGAACCACTGATGCAGCAGCTCTGCTTGATTTTCTCTCTCACTGCTCTGTTTCAGTCCAGAGGCTAAGTGCAGAACTGTGTGTGTGTGTGTGTGTGTGTGTGTGTGTGTGTGTGTGTGTGTGTGTGTGTGTGTGTGTGTGTGTGTGTGTGTGTGTGTGTGTGTGTGTGTGTGTGTGTGTGTGGTAAGTGGAACAATGGGAGTGACCTCCAGTAGCCTGACTGCTAATAACAGAGCAGAGGAGTGCTGCATGAAGAGTGCCGGTCAATGCTGCTGTCAGAGCTAAAATGATCTGTGCTGTTAATGATAAATCTGACAGGACACCGGCCTTGATTTTTAAAGTGCTGTCAATACATTTCTGGAGGCAAAAATCCCAAATCCAAGTCAACAAAAAAACAAACAAACAATGGTTCAGCTTAGGCTACAACAAGTTAAAAGTGTCAGTGATATTCTGTTGCGAATGAACCTTCCAGACCGCTCAGGTCATCTAGTGCCAGTCTGCTTTTTGTCTTCAGAGTCAGAACCAAACACCTTCTGCTTCTACTTCAAAAAACTGTCATACGTTGACCCTCTGTTTTTGCTCTTTTATTCATGACTTGTTTAAATGATTTTAAATGTTTTGTGTTTATATGGTTTACTGATCTCTGTACCGTCTGTGTTCAGTACTTTTTTTTTTTTTTCAGCATATAAATTTGATTTGTTTTGTGATTAAACAGTGTTGAGATGGACATCCTGCAGGGATACAAAGTAGGGCTGCGCAGTTAATCGGTTTTAAATTGTAATTGTTTGATTATGACGATGTTAAAAAAATTCCCATGCTCACCAGTGTGAACAACCATGGTGTTTGTAAAAGAAGGAGATAATTTTGTGGCCAAATAGGGCAAGAGCAAGTCAGTCGTGTGGAATTGATACGGCCTCCCAGTTTCAGAGGGAGAACTAACCACTCCCCGCTGCAAAGTCTTCTTTTGCGTTTCAGGAGTAGGCACAAAATTTTTTGTCGTATCAGCATTTCATCCACATGGAAATGGCGTTTCAGTTGACCATAAATGCTGCTTTTTATGAAAACGGGTACGAGAGTGCATAAATCTGTAAATGACTACCATTTCGTCTCATCTCTGTGTGAATGACCATCTGCATCGCTCTCTAAATGATTATGTGACACACAGCGTAACTCTTTTATGGCGCCTGTATGTGACCAGCCAAAACAACTGTTTTACAAATGCTCTGAACTCTTCTTCTGTCTTTTGTGCATTTCCTCGGCAGCGCTACAGCGCCACTTACTGGCTTGGCATTTGCAATAACATCATTTTCAGTGGTTTAGTTTTAAGAGATGATAGAAAAGCTTTTTATTTTTAAAGTGAAGTTTGGTGAAGTTGTAACTGAATAAAAAATCGAAGTTGAAATTGAAAATCGAATTTCAGAGAAAAGATTGTGATTTTCTTTTTGGCCAAAATCGTGCAGCCCTGATACAAAGAGGTCTGAGGCAGCTTTGGGCTGTGACTCTTGCAGAATAAGACCAATCTGTGAGTTTTACTCCTTGGAAAAACACTAAACAGGATAAATGAGTGTAAAGTGAGTCTGATCAGACTAAAATTACACGTGTTTCAGAGTGATGTAAATTTCAGCTCTTTAATTTTAATTGATGTTTGGCCTTTCTAATTTTCTTGAGGGAACTCCCAAAAGGATAAATAAAGTTATATCTAATCTAATCTTATTTAATCTAAATATAATAAAATAAGCTGACATTAAACAGCAATGATGCGTCATCAGAATTGATGTAATTGAGGTTGAACTCTCAAAGCTGTTTTAATGAAAAAATGACACCACATTTGATAATTATGCTATGGCAGTAATGTTGAAACAACGTTGATTTATGGTGTACTTAAAGTTGATTTAGCATTGCAACACCAACCCTGTAAAGACATTAAAGTAGACCTGGGGCCTATTCTACGAAGCAAGTTCAACCTAGTGAGGTAGCCCTGGAGCTACCTCGCTTAACTTAGCGCGGTAGTCAGCGGTCTCGCTAAACAGTCTTACTACGCTGAGTTATCAACCTTGTATGTGGATCCAGCTTTGCTATGAGCGCATGCATGCATGTAAGGCAGAGCCCACCGCATCTGACCAATCGCGAACATGGATCAGTCTGGAGCATCAGAGCAGGCCGGAGAGCGAAGGACCGCGTACTTTACAAACGAGGAGCAGGAGACGATCATGAGAAAGTATAAGGAATTTAAATCTATCATAAACCTCAAAAGCAACACTGTTGCCACTGCAAAAGCATGAAAGGAATGCTGGCAGAAAATTGCAGACAGTCTCAATGCGGAAGTATAGTGCTCAAAAAATCTTTGATGCCATTATCACCCTGAAATAGCACTGTTCAACACGTGCTTTTAACATGCACGTGTTTTAACTAACATTGCGATTTTTTTCAACCCTGCGATATATATTGCGATATTAAAAAATACAGGAATTTTCACCAGATGACCTGAATAGCACTTTATGTTGTGCTGCACTGCTGAAATCTTGAGGACAGTTAAACTGCTCTGATCTTACCTCTTTTTGTGAATGTTAGTAGAACGGCTTCTGTCTGTCTCAGAGATATTTTTAGCTTTTATTGTTCTGGGACGTTATTGTGGAAACAGATGAACACAGAAGACGTGTTTTGGTCGACATCATCCATCTTGTAACCGAAATAATTCCAGATAACTGACTTTCCTTTTCTTTTTGGCAACAAATCTTCATTTTCGGTGGTTTTCGCTTGTTCGTTGTTCATTTTGCGATCGTTGTTGTTGTTGTTAACGGGGTTGTGCTGAGAAACGCATGTCCTCCGAGAATTGCATGCACCTCACAAAACGCGCACTGCTTATAGTAGAGTGGTCCACGGAAATGTACAATTTAAAGCCCATACAGTTCTTATTTGTTAGGCTAAACAGTGATGAAGAATGTTCCGGAAGTAATTCTCAGCGGACAAGCGTTTCTCGGCACAACTCCGGCCAGCGACTCCCTCCATGTGCAGGGGTGGGTTTCCTCCACTCTGATTTTGATTGACAGCTGGCAGAGTAGTCTGATTGGCAACTGAGAACTGAGTCTGATTGGCAACTGAGTAAAGAACGAAGGTGATTGGTGGATTGCTGCACAGCACATGTAGAGTCACATGCAGTGTATCTCAGTCAGCTACCCTTGAAATTAACTGAGTTCATTCACCTCCGATATCGCAGGCTCTGCGATGTGACTATCGCACACACGTACATCGCGATGACGATGTTCAAACGATATATCGTGCAGGCCTACTCCTCGGACAATGCGAGCACCGAGGTCTACAGGATCCTCCAAGAACGGACAAGCCATTTTTCGAGAGAGCTCATTGGTCAGTATACTCGGTGAGTTCAATCTGGAACCTAACCTGCCCCGGAGCAGGTTAGCCGTTCAGCGTATGTTGCCATGGAGACTCGCCTCGCTAAGAAGTGAACCAGCGTCGTAGAACAGGAAACCCCGAACTTACCCTCGAAGTTACCTCGCTAAGCAGTAATCCTGCTTCGTAGAATAGGCCCCTGGAGATGATGGCTTGCTGTTGACATGTTATTGATTTATGATCGTCCACTGGAGGGAGACCATCCTCTTAAAGTTGACTGCACTCCATACAACTCTTAATATCAAGAGAGCTTATGTTTTTTGCCAATTTTTTTTAAACTTTTGGCACAAAACTGAACATTTAAAACAGTTGTTGAACTGCCTTTGAAGCTTGCTACAGTGGTCATAAATTTAGAAATCTCTGTTGTTGACATGTCAAAAGTCCAAGTCTGTTGGCTGCTTTGAGGTTTTAGTATATTTATAGTAGCTTTAAAATGGCATTGAATATTTGCAGTCAGCTGTGTTGATTAGCCTGCTAACACACTAAATGACAGAAAGATAAGCGGTCTGGAGATGGTTAGAAGAGAGAAACCTGTCCTATAATCACAGATAACCAAAAGTATTATATCCAAAAAAGTCTCAAGAGTAGTTAGCAATTTGCTTTCACAACAGTGAAGCTATCATATGTATCACTGCTGGAGTTTAAATGGTGAGCTATACAGTCAGATAAGAAATGAAGTGGGGTGGGAAATAATGACAGTGTGACTCAACGACAGGGTGAGTGTTTGAAACACTTCAAAGTTTGGTAAGCACCTCAGTGTTATGACACCCAGATTAGTAGGCTAGTGGTAGTTTCACCAACCAATTAACTAATCGACTATTTAAACCACCAGAGGGTCACTCCGTGACAGAGGGAAGGGGGCTGACCATTGCTCTATTAAGCCTATTAAAACCTATGAGGTCCAAAATCACAAATTTAAAAATGGATAGAAACAGGGGCGGAGCTACCGGGGTGGCATGAGGTGGCAAATGCCACCCTAAAAGACATGCTTGCCACCCCTGTTGCCACCCCAGTTGGCAGCAACAAATTAAATGGCCAATTTGACATTTACAAGTGTGAATCTCCATTTTCCAACTGCATTGAATGCAGCACGAAATTGCATCAAAGCCGGGGTGGCGACACAGCAGGTGTTGTGGTGGTGTGCTGGCGAGACGAGTGACTTTTTTAATTGGTAAAAGCCAAGGAGCCGGGAGTCTTTTGAAAAAAAAAAAGGAGACACGAGAGGAATAAGGTGAAGACTGATTTACTATCAATAAATGAATTTGTAATGAAAGCACAGTGCTGCAGCAATGCTGATTTTGAGCTCGTGTTGAAGATCGTAATTTCACTAATTCTAAGCTAGGCTGCATGTGCAATAGCAGCTAGATCCTGTGTAGGCTATGAAAGCTAATATTGATTCCATATCTGGCAGGGTAATATAAGTAAAATAACTTCAAATCTTGCAGAAATGAAGAGGAAAGGCAGCATAATTAGTTTTTTTTCACCAAAGACAAAGAAATAGGTGGGAAAAATAGAAAACGAGGTAGACGGACAAGGTAAGAAGGATGAAGAGAGAGACCAGGTGGACGGAGAGAGAGAAGAGGTGGAAGGACAGAGGGAAGATGAAGACAAAGAGGAAGAAGGGAGAGAAAGGCATGACAATTGTCACAGTAGTAGAAGAGCAAGGCAAGGTGACCAGGGACATGAGGAGGTGGCAGGAGAAGAATATGTGGAGCAGGGAGAACATCTCAGAGATGAGGAGGCAGAAGAGAGACAAGTCAACGTGTAGGACCCAGAAAGTGAGAGGGAGAGGAGAGAGCATGAGTGATCAGCTATCATCTCCAGTCAACCTGGTCAAGATGGTAAGAAAAGTAGACAGAGACATTGCTTAGACTTCTTCAAATAAATATAAAAATGTGTGTTTGCTTAAATCTGTAAAAATATTAGGGAAACTCAATTGTAAAAAGTGTGATGGCGTGGGGACAGCGCTTTAGTAGTTTGTAAACAATGTATTTTAGATCCACTGCTGAGGTTAACTTCCAGAATTAAATAAATGTTAGTGTGTTGACACAGTCTGACTGGTCTAAATCCATGAAGCTGCGATGGGTTGTTGTTTTTGTTTTTCCATGCCTTTTTATTGATCTTACTGGTGTGAGAATCCTAATAAAAGAAAGATTGTATGGGACGAAGAATGTCTGTCATGTTTGTAAATGGCAGCAATGCCTTTTTGTAGTGAACAAACTCAGTATATGTCTGCCATATGTTGCCACCCCTCAAAAATTCCTGCCCCCCTCTTGCTACCCCATGAATATTTTTCTAGATCCGCCCCTGGATAGAAAGTACTGACTGACACTTTGGGTGATAAAATGCTGTGTTGTTTCCATGAATCCAGTCCTTCCTAAAATTGCACTTTTCCACTCTAAACAAACAGCCATCTCTGTCTGTCCGTCTGTTTTTCTGTCTGTCAGTTTGTCCTTCTCTGTCTGCCTGATGTTTTTGGTTGGTTTCAGCACAGTCACTGATGCCAGCGAGGTTAAAATCAGGTGACAGAACAGATCTGGGGTTACTGAGCCAAGCCAACAGCAAACCAATGAACAAACTCCCATTTCCTGCTCTGCTGTCCACTGCAATCAAATCACAGACAGACACAGGACAACGCGACTAATCCATAATGTATGTGATGCAGGGAGACACACACACACACTCACACACTGTGAAATATTGAGTCCCACATCAAACCACAGCTTTGAACTTCTCTGTCAGCTTTAGAATGAGGGGAGAGCCTGAAAAGTGTCCATCAAAGCGACTCAGCAGACGGCATCAGCTCAGAGCATGATGACGGAGAATTAGCGCTCAGGTTTGTTAAGCTGAGAGAAACAACAGAAAAATCATCATCCTTTAACAAAAGCTGCTGGACAGACATCAGGAGAAACGTTTAACACTGATGTCAGTGTGTTTGAAGCATCTAAGGTCACTTCTTTTAACAGACATGGATGGCACACACTCACAAAGCACCCTCTTATCCGTATCAGCACCAGCCTCTGGAAAAACCCTCATCAGTCAACGTCGACACACAACCAAGAGAAAATAGATAATCAAATATAAGATATAAATCAGAGATAAGAAAATATGTTTGGATCTTTCACGCTGCTGCATGACAAAACTTTTGTTCAAGTCACCCAAATAAAAAAAAGTTATTTCAGGAGAAACTTTTCATGTGGTGCATATCTTTAAATATTATTTGACTATTTTCTTGACTCCCAAATCTAAAAATGTTTTTGCTTAAAAGGCAGGCTTTATTCTTTTAAAATAATGTCAAGTAACTACCCATATCATGCTGTTAAAATGGGTTGACTGATACTGGTTTTTCAATGCCAATACTAGATTACTAGTAGTTAACAAAACCAATGACTTACAAACCTGCTTTTTTTTTGCAGTCAAAAAAATTTAAGAAACCTGAAGGACTTTATGTTAAAGTTCAAAATTTTGAATATTCTAATCTTTGGTTGACAGCCTTTAGCAAATATTTAGTCAACAATGAAACTTTCAAAATCATATAGAGAAGTTACACTCACTGAATAATTGCAGCACACAGTGGCTTCAAGTCTAGCCAAAGTGTTACGGACTCAAGGTGAGACAGATCATGACCTTTAGGGAAAGACGTCCTGGCAGTGGAGCCAAATGAACTGACATTTTTATTTATTCATTTTAGTGACCAAATGTAAAATAAAAGGCTGATACAGATAAATGGTAAAATGCATCTGAATACTGGCCCTCATAGTCAGCCAATAAATACTGTATAGTTGGTCCATCCCCCTAGTGTCAATTACGTTACAGGCTTGGTGACACAGTTTAACTTAATTAATAATCAAATGTCAAAAACATATTGACATAATCAGACAGGGCTGGATCAAAAGGGAACTGATTTCCTTGTGCTTAGAGTTAAATAAAGGTCAGCTGTTAATATTCATGACCTTGTTTCTGAGGTATAGGGCTGTATTGTACTGCATGAAAAATGGACACTTGAAAATTTGTTTGAATATCTGTGAGCACAATGATCACTGGTGTTAAGAGTTATGCTGAGAGTTTTTTAAATGTGGTTATTTAGCACAGAGTGTGTTTTAAGTTCAGAGCAATATTGCAAGCGTGCATGATGGAGAGCTTGCGTTCCTCCTCAGTTTGAAAGGAGGCGATGCCAAGAAAGAGGGAAAACTAGGCTCATTGTTTACTGACCCTAAACCTCCCACTCATCCCTATGAGCTCTCTCTCCTTCTCTTTCAGATTTTATTTCAAAGAGTTATCAGCTAAACTCAAAATATTAGAGACACACCTAGCAGTATATTCTGTCTGATAAGATGAGCTTAACATTTTTATCCCTGATGGTGTGACTGCGCCTGTGAGTCTTGCTTCTGTGCCAGTTTTCCTTCGGGAAAGATGGCTGAGCTGACTGGGATACTTTGTACACTTACAATTACCATGTACGAATCCACTCCAAACAACAAAAAAGAGACACCATCACATCAGTCTAATTTTGCAGGCAGTTTTGATATAGGCCAGATGTAGTGAGGGCCTTCCACATGTGTACTGCCAATCTGTAAAACCTAGAGGTGGTTGAAAAATCTGATTGCACAGTTTTGAGCACACAAAAAAGCTGCCAGCTCAGAAAATTTGACTCAAATGAAGTGTAAAACGTTTCAAAGTGTGGAGAGTACTTTTGGGTGGTTTTGTAGGAATTAGATACAACACTTTTCTCAGGCAAACACCGTGAGCCTGTTTCAGCTGAACCTGCTCTGTCCTGAAGATACTGTGTACCAAAAAAAGAACCCTAATGGATTTCTCCTGTCCCTGTTTGAAAAAAATAAAACAGCCTGCTGTTGTAGCTCCTTTTCGACAGTATATGATACTTGCGGTATCTGAAAGATCTGACAGAGACAAAGTCACAAGACCTGCTGGAGATGAGGGTTAGGGTGGAGCACAATGATACAGCCCAGCTGAACAGGGAGCAAATTAAAGAAAAGTTCAGTTTATTCTAATACACTTATTCTCTCATACTTTGGCCAAAGTAATGTTGTGCCACTTGAACCTTGACAGCTAAAACCAGCTGTAGGAGAAATGTTTAATTCATGCACAGACACTTGCAGGCTCAGAGCTTAAGAGAGGACAGAGATCTGTGTAAAACTGGCAGCTTGTCTGACCCAGACATTTGGAAATGGCAGGTAGAGACACTTGACTTCAGCTGAGAGCCTGTCGAGGAGGATTTGATGTCGCCTCCTCACTGTGACATTGTTTGATAAATTATAAAGGTCTGCAGCTAGAGCTTAACACTTTCACCATTACAAGTTTCACTATCCAAAATTAATAGGAAGGTTTATTAGATGGTTATTCATGCAAAAACGGATCTGAATGATACCCAATTTTGACACATGAACACGTATATACATATACTTGAGTACAGAATGATGCTGCATGCAGGAACTTAAACAGCCAGAAACACCAGTATTAATATGCTGCTTATATTTAGTCAAATTTTCAACTAGAGCCAATTTTATTTAAGCTGGCCATTTTCAATGAGCATTTATTAAACAATTTTAATATTTCCTAGAGCTATATTAGCAATGACTGTGCACTATTGGATTATTGAAGCATGCCACATATCAGCAATGTTATATGCGCAGTCCATTACAGCTTACTGATCAACTAAGGATGCTGAAAACATACTGAAAAGAAGAGCAAAACAACTATTATATGCTGCATATTTCCTGCTCCGCTCTGTGGAAAAATACAAATGTTATGACATTAAAACAACTGTATTAAGCACAGCACCAAAAATAAAACAGTAAAGCCATAACAAGCATGAGTTTGCTAGAAAAGAATAATGTAATACAGATGCAGTGATTGTGAAATTCAGGGCTAATAATTAAGTTCACAGAAACAAACTAGCTGACTTCTCTCTGAGACAGCATGATACCAAACATGTTCTTTTACATTTGCCCATAAAAAACTAGTTTGCTTGTCAACAGGTGACTATTTCTGCCCAAAAACCTTCTGCTCTAACTCAGAGGTCAGAGATGCTACCTGCAAGCACTACAATGATGTGGTAAAGATAAAAAATCTGATGTTAAATGACTCAAAGATCAGTTACTGACATTACTGCATGGCACATTTTATGCCAATGGGGTAGATGTCAATGGAGATGCAATCTTGCTGATGTTTACTCAATACACCAAAGCATTATTCATAGGCTTGTGTAAAAATGTTTCTTTAATGTTTCACCTGAATTATACCTGTATCTGCAGGTAGAATCCTGCACTCTTGTTTTATCTTCATAGAATTCAATTTTGGGGTGTTTGCCCTTATTGTGGAATCAAACCCCGGAGGCTTGTGTGAAGATGCAATCACACGAGGCCAGTGGCACTTTTTGTTCTGTTTTTGTTGAATATGCTTGGTTTCTGAAGGGTTAGTGGTTGTGCAACTTTGAACTAAAAACCACTGGTGTTGAGAAATAAGACCAACAGGGAAGCACAAGTTGTTGCAGTCCCTCAAACAGGCCCTTGTTGCACTGCTTTGGAATAACTACCATACCCTTGAGTGCCTGGTGCACGTTACCCCTCATTTAACGCCTGTGTTTTAAGTCTTTTTCAGGCTGTCCTGCCAAATAAAGGCAAAATAAAAACATGAATCAAAAGACACAGTACTTAGCAGCCCAGTTTGCTATAGTGGCTTGTATTAATTTGTAATTTGACTTGAGGAATGGTTATATGTGTAGCTCAGCAGAAGTCATGTGATCTTTTTGTAAAAACACTGCTCTGTGGTCCAATGAAACCAGAGTTGATGAGATTATTCTCCACACACACTGTGGTAATATCAGTTAAATGCAGCAGAAGGAAGGTCATAAGGTATGAGGCTGTCCTGCTCTACCTGCTCACTCAGCCTGGGCCTAAGCATGAATAATTTCTCACTCAGACTCACATTATGGCACGGTTCAATCACTGGCACTTTGTAACTTGGCAAAGGTGCTCCTAAAAGGTGCACATATAAAACTGAACGGACAGCGTGTGCTGAGTCAGCGTCCATTCCTTCCTCTGCTGTCCTACAGAGGAAGAGTAATAACTCCACGTGAGAGCAAACATTTTGCTGCAGTGGACGCTCACAGCGCTTCATTACTCGCATTTCAGCCATGAATAGAGGCTGAGATACGAGGCAGGGAGCCGACCCAGCGGCTGCAGAGCTCGACCCCTCAGGCTCACACTGCTCTTTTCTTTACTGTGCAGTTATTTACTATTGGCCGCTGAGCTCTATACCTCTATGATGTGATATAGTGCAGAGAGCAACCATTTATGCTAGAGAACTCAATATCCCTGTTGCCCAGTCTGAAAGGATTTCATCCTTTTAAATAACTACCTTTGTTAGACATAGTATGTTGGTTAATAACAAGGTTGAAGGTCCACAGCCACTTCTTGCTCTGTATGGCTGTACTTCGATACAGCAGCATTTGCCCTAAGCAAAGATGTCTCAGACTCTAGCCATACTAAAGAGATGTCGAAATACAACTCCAAGAGGCCCTGCAACAGGCCCTGACATCCTACATATACAGTATGAGGCCTCAGTCTGGATCTCGGTGGGGTGTCTAATTCAGTCTCTTCCTTAAACCAACCTGACATGGTTGCCTTAGATCAGATGAAGCAGGTGAAATCGTCATTAAGTCAATACATTATACTCTTCTATTTTTAGAGCTGAAGTCATCAGTTTTGGACCGCTCCTGTCTTCTGTCCACTATGATTACTTCCTTAATTGTCGTTCCTGCTGACTACATCTAACGACTTGTCACATGATTGTTTTTGCAAGGCATGCAGAACTAAGTGTAAGGGCATTGATGAGGGAACCACTGAGCATGAAGGTAAATGATGTTTGCATGCAGTAAGATTCATTTGGTCATCTCTGTTCTGAGAGCTCCCTGTCCTACCGTAAGCCTCTACTCTGTTTCATATGCATACATTAAAAGCAAAGGCCCTAGGGTACAGAGCATAACAGGTACTAGTGACAAAGCTAATGTCATGGGTAAAACTAGACTCAGTTTAAAAAGAAGGAGCTTAGGTGGAGGTAGGTTGCAGAGTGGTTTACAAAGGTTGGGAGCAGCAGCAAAGACCAATGGGGTACAAAGTAGGGCAGGCATCAATGGCAATACATATGACACTAATAAAACCAGGATCAGCATAAAAAAAGAGGAGCTGGGGCAGAAGTGGATTGCAAAGCTTTTTGCGTAGGAGGTAGCAGAATTAGAAAGGCTAAAGTAGACAAAACAGAACCTAACAGCAGAGATAATAGAGAGATGGTCTACAAAGTGTGTTATAAAGGGGGTAATGTATAGCAGTACTTCCCATGGAACTTCATTCTGGTCCCTCTTCAGCAAACACTGGGCTCCATTATGGCAGAAACGGCAAAGCACATGGATACTCAAAGCTGCTATAATGTCAGCAACTCTCTGAGCTACACAATAGATAGGAGGGTTAGTAACCTGTGCTTGAGATATCAGTCAAGTTGTAGACGGCAATCAATTATCCAATCACAGTCAGGCTTGGACATTGTTCTTTAGCTAACAAAGCTCAGGAAGAGGCTTGTCTTCTGTAGGGAGACTCTTCTCCTCTTTAACTAGCAATGAGACAGCTGATCACAAGATTCACAGTTACAGTTTAAAAAAAATAAAAGAAAGTATCATGCAATAATCTTCATGTAGTCATATTTTTACTGTGTGCATAACAACTAAGAACAATATGTATAAAAAATAGAGGTGCTTCAGTTGTGTTTTCTTTAATACTCAGTGTAATATCCAAATTATGGTAACTTGAACTTCAATACAATTTGGCACAGGTTTCACTGGTGGTGTTACATTAATCCTCACAACTGGTATTTGAGAGCGCTTAAGTACTGGGATGTCACAGCAGAACATCTGCAGTTTTTAATGAAATATCAAGATAACTAGTATTAGAAAGACCACCTCATTTGGGTCTTCAGGCACGTTCAACTAACCCAGGAGGAGACCTATTGAATGAAGCATTTAACTCAGCAAGCCTTTAGATCCCCAGTAGAATCTTCATTAACAGCTCTGAACAGGAATTTCTGGGCTAAATAAGCTTAGCATGCTGCTGCTGCAACCTACCCCTGGATTGATGGGGGGGAATTGGTAACTGCATGGCTGGAACATTTCAGAGTATAACTGTAATGTTTTACATTTTGGGACTTTTGTCTGAGTGAAGATATTTTTCCAGTCATATAGTGTTCAATATCACATCCTTCTCATGAGCCAGTGTCATGTCTCTTCTGGTACTCATCTTGTCTCCACTCTTATGCTGAATTTTCTGTATAATTCCCTGTTTGATTCCACAAGTTTCCAAGAAGCTACATATACAGTACTGCTGGGAACTGTAGGGGCAGTGCAGCCTCAAGTAAAGCTCAAGCCAAAAAAAGAAATAAAACAAAGACAAATTCGTCAAAAACAGCAGAACTTTTTGAAAGATTGTGCAAGATGGTTAAAAATTTAAAGCTCATACTAGACATGATACAACCTTACTCAGACACTGGGGTGGACAACTACAACAGGACAGCTGGATGGAGCTCACACCGGGGCTGATTGTCAGTTAAAAAGCAGCAAGGAAGGTCTGTGCAAGACCAGTTTGCTGGATCCAATGATCCAATGCGTTGTTTGATGCCTATCCCAACCAAATGACAACCTCCTGTAAAACGTGTCACAAAGGTTTTTTGTGACACGTTCATTTTGGATTCAATGAATCAGAGGCATGGCTGATTTGACTGACAGGAGGCTGAAGGTAAAGTTAGATTAGTCAGTCAGTTTTACCAATATGGCAACCACCACTGACAGGTTTGAAACACTCTGCTTTACAAATAAATGGGTTAGGTTGCTGACGCGACGTCCAGTTATTACAGTCTATGATCTAAACGGGCAGGATTGATGGATTGATAAATACAGTTATTAATCCTGCAGAAAATGTGAGCTTCAGCTGTTCCATTCACACACGGAGCAAAAAGCAAAAAGTTTAAACTATAAAAATATATAACATATTTTAAAAAAAAACAGCGGAAAGCATTGCTGCAAAAATGTACAAGACAAGTGTCTTGACTCTTACTTTGGAAAGACCAGAAAGGACCAGTCAAAGAATATCTGGCAGCTGACAGGCTCAACAGGTGTCAACAATCCTGCTGGGCCTCTACAGACCACATCTGTAAAACCTTAAAACCATTTCTGGTATTAGCAGGAAGCTAAAGAAGGGATTCTGGGAGAAAGATGATGTGTTGATGTTTATTAAAGTTGGGAAAGAGCTGAGCTAATGCACTGCAACATGTTTTTAAATCTGTTTTTGTTTTTCTCTCTGTGAGGAGGAGCTGAAAAGATCAGATGACCAGCAGAAAAACAGTATGCTTTTGAACTGCCTCACATTGATCAAGACAGACACACACAGAGGGAGACACACACAGTGACGTACAGGAGGTTAAGTGAAAAAACAGACAGCAGTACCCACACAAAAGACGCACAGGGCAAGTGCATGCTGGGGGATGTGTGCTTTGACAGCTGAGTAGTGTTTCCTTGTTTGCTCTTGAGTATTCCCAGAGTCTCTCATTCGGCAGTATTGATCCATGTGGGGTGAGGATGTGGCCACAGTAAGCAGCTTCTCCCTTTATCATGCTGCCTGAGGAGATATGCTGCTTTAATATTTGATCATCTGTTTAGATGTTTGCTAAACATTACCTAACTGCTTCTCTGTCACACTGCATTATTCAGGAGTTTTTCTCACAACGTGTCTCCTTCACACATCACACTCATCAAACAATGTCTCGGCCCAGGACAGTTAGGAGAAGAAGAAGAAGCAGAAGAAACACTGAGCAGCGAATGAGACGTGCAGGCTGCTGTATACAGACCGGGCTCCATGCAATTACAGAGCCACAACAGACGACCCAGCAGTCACATTGTTGGAGGTAACCATGGCGATCAATATGCCTGGATTGTCAAAAAATGGAAAACAGAGAGGGGGTGGTGTGGAGAGGAGGATAATAGACTATCTGTAAGTGTCAGAGGAAGAAGCTCGGGGGGACGTTATGAAAGAGACAGTCCCTAATGGACCAGCAGCTCGAGGTGCACTGAGTCAGGACACACAACAGAGTCCATGACACTGAGAGGAAGACACATAGAACAGTGTGAAATGCAGTTTTAGCACATTTGTTACTCACTGAATGATGCTTTTTATAGAGCTGTAGTTTGACCCTTAATTGTACAAGAGGACATTTGAGCTTAAACTCCAATTTAAATTTACAGACTGGTCTGACTGAAAAGAAAACAGGACAACACCAGTTTGTTGGTTCTTGGTCTTGACAAGCACTTTGTTGTAAAGCACTTTGTGATTTTATCAATGAAAAGTGCTATATAAATAAAATTTACTTACTTACAAAAATCACATCATATCATTCCTAAATCTCTGATAGTCTGCCAGCTTTGGTCCACTACTTCTAACAGAGGAACCTAAAAAGTAAATATTGAGGTACATTAGGTTTAAACCCTTCCTCAAATTGACTTGTGAAAAAATTTGTCCTCAGATTCATAATTTAAGACTTTTTTTCCCCTTAAATTTGCCAGAAAAAAAGAGTCTGTTTTTATTTAAGCAGCTAAAACCACTGTTTTCTTTTTACACACTGCATCATATTGGTCACATAAAAGACTCTGGCTGAGCTCCACATGCTGTAGTAGGTGGCTGAAACAAAGGGCTGACATTTTCAACACCAACACCTGTCAAACTAAATACTGTCATCTCTCTCTCTCTCTCTCTCTCTCTCTCTCTCTCTCTCTCTCTCTCTCTCTTTGCAACACCTCTCCCACCTCCGTGGCACCATAAAATGCAGTACTGATCTAATGTTAAACAAGTCTGGTCTGTTTTATTTTGGATGTATTTTTCAGGTCTGTAATCTTGTCCATATTTTCTTTCTCAGAACCCTATCACAGTACACTGGGGAAGAGACCAAAGTTTGGGAATCAAAGTGCAAACATGATCCACTTAATATAAGATCGTATGTTTCTTCACTTGTGCTCCAATTTTGCACAGACTCAGTGTGCACAGACCTTTTACCTTGGATTATATCATGAAATGGACTCTCCACTCTACTAACACACAGAAACACACATACCCCCTCCTGCTCCTCACCCACATGTGCATACATATTAGTTTTTACTGATTTTACTTAAGACTGGCTGAGCTCCACATGCTGTAGTAGATGGCTGAAACAAAGGGCTGACATTTCCTACACAAACACCTGTCAAACAAAATACTGTCATCTTTCTCTCTCTGTTTATCTTTCCCAATATTGTGTAACCTCAAAAATGTTTAGGTTCATAAGTTATTGTAATAGTGAAGCATGAATTCTCTTACTTAACTTCTACTCTTAGTTAAGGCTCGTGCATGTGGTCAGTTTAAGTCCTGTTAAACCTGGGAGTGAGTTTTACGTCTGAAGGGGCAAGTGTTGGTTTGTTAATTCAGACTAGTAGGTATGGCTGCTTAATAGTGGCAAAAATCCTAATCACCATTATTTGGGCTGTCCAGCCCTCTAAAAACTGCATAGTGGAGTACCACTACTACTACTACTACATAAACCTTACTCAAAAACACTGTTCACTCACAGTCAATCATATCTGTCCATTAAAAAATTACATCTGCATCACAAGCCTGTGATAGTATGATTACATTACAAAATTCTTCAGCATATGATTTTTTATATCACTGCAAGGTGTGTTTACTGCAGGCAAAGATGCTGAAAAGACTGTGCTAAGTATGTGTGACAGGAAAGGTATGTGCCTCTAATGCACGTTTATGTTTGACAGTCATGTGATCCTGATACAGAAACTTTCTGAGCAGCGGTCAGTTCTCTGTGTGTCTGAATGGGGGGCTGAATCAAAGTGATTTCAGATTAATCCTGATGATAGTGTGATGTCTGTTAGGTCATATGACTGACGTTGCACATCTAAATTGCAATGCTGAAATGATTTATTGTTCAGCCTTAATAACCTTGAAAATGAAGGCCAGATCAACAATTTCTGACTCATCGTGGGACGTCTGCAAATCTAAATGCTGATTCGCTGACTCAACACAATTTTGAAGCAATTTGTAGCACAAGTTTGAGTATTTTTAATTTTGGATATGGTGTTGGCCAAACTTGTAAGCAGATATCTATTTATGGAAATACATAAATCATCACATTTTCCCCAAAAGGTGCTTCGATGTTGTTACACTGATTTGTTTTCAGCCTGCTTTTGCTCTCCACCTGGACTCTGTCCAGCATCCACAAAGTCTGCTAACACACATTTAGTCAAGGCTAGTCAGACATCAAAGATCGACCAATCAGAAGCCAGAATTTTCTTCTATCCAGTATTGATCCAGCATGTTTGATTCTACACTTACATGTAGTCATCTTTAAATAGGGAAAAGCAACAATAGGATTTGTCACAGTCAGCATGGCTGTGAGCTTTTATAGTTGCCTTAGTTTAGTTAAATATAAATAAATCTGATTACTTTTGTCTGTGAGAGTAAATGTATGGGGAGGATTTAAATAGGATCCTCTATATGTTGGACAGAGTGCTGAACAAAAAATTGTTTAAAGTATTTGTAAATGCGATTTTGTTATTTCACATCAGAAATATAGAAATGTTACAGGTTTAATACTCAGTCACCAGGCGGACTCTGGATTGTCTACAGAAGTTAAGAAATACAAAGTGTAACATCAGACATCTGGTTGTCTACGAGTAGGCCTGCAGCCAGGCAGGGGGTTGGGGAAGTTGTTGGGTGCTGCGATAGCCTTGTTTGCCCTCCTCTCTCCTTCTTCCCTCTTTCCCTCCCTCCTCGTCTCCTTGGCTCTGAGTGCTGCTGGCAGAGACTGTACTGATCAAAGCATGTACAGAACAAACCGCAGGCGTTCTCACCCTGTGAGAGGTCTGCACTGAAACATGAGAAGGGACAACTAACTAGCCAAGGACTAGCTCAGAAGCTGGTGGTTTTTACTAGCCAAATGGTGGCCAAAATTGACTTTGAGTCCATAGCAATGATTACTGAAATAATAGAGAGAAGTGTTCTTTACAGGACAAGGAATGATAACTTTTAGACCTGGCCAGATAATTCATTAGCTGATTAATTATGAAGAACAAGTAACATTTTTGGGGGGGCGTCATCCACCGGAGGGTTTTATGGTTATTCATTTTTTTATCTGTCAAATGTTTTCCTTTCTTTGATTTAATTTCTGTTTTTATTATTGTCAAAGTGTGATGGAACCACCAATCTGTCCATCATTAACACACACTCCCATATCAATTTACCATATTGAATGATGTACTAGAGAGAGATCCTGGAATACCACTACTACTCCTACTACTACTTGTACTACTCCTTCAACTACACTACACTACTACTGCTTCCACCAATGTGAAAAAGCTTAAGTAATCATCTTCTCATACATGGTTCCATTACTTATTTTACATTTATTCCTTAGTATTTTTAGTCTTATTCATTTTAATTGCTGACCGTTGAAGTTGTTTCCATTATAGCTGCTTATTTTTGTTGTCCACCCCTGTCACGTCTGTCTAGCTGTGTGTTTTGTTGCACTGTTGCTTTTACACAAATAAAATTCCTACTAGATAAATACAGTTTGAATTAGATTGAACTCAGCTCTCTCTCTTTAAAAACTGGTAATTCTCATTTGGATCCATCTCCTCTACATTTATGGTTTAGTTGTTTAAAAGCAGGACATTTTTCTGCCTCAAATTCTGTTTGCATGTGCTTGTTATGATGTGTTAGGCAAAATAGAGAAACACACTTCTATATCATTGGTGAGTTTTAGACATTTTAGCATTACTGTAAATATTTACAAACCTTTACTGACATACTCTCGAATACACCAAGTCTCTGCTATACTGAAATTTACCTGATACTCTTATTGTGAAGGTTGTTGAGTTCTAGAAACAGACATAAAACAAGACATTTGATTCTACTACTATGAATTAATTTCTTAATGCAGACATCAAAATTGTGTCTGCTGTCTGTTTAATACATTCATGTATGGACTGTATCCCATACATAAAAGTTGGCACAGCTAAGCTGTCATGCATGCACATAATTAATGAGTCACTTCTATAATATTGATGATATCGGCTGAAATTTTCATACAGAGGGCAAGAAAGAGAAATAGAGAGTTACAGATAGAACTATAGATAGGTGATCATTTTTTGTCATTATCCTCTTGTCCTTTGTCTCTTTCCTCGTGTCTTTCCAAATGGAGCTGTGCTGCTCGCAGGTCGCTGAACAGTGAAAGCAGGAAAGTACATAGTGTAGCCTCAGTGTCTGTCTCTGCTCTGTTGCCTTGGCAACTTTGGCAGACAGGCTGTAATGTGTGTTATGTCGACCTTTGGGTTTGCGCTGTAAGTATAACTGTTGCCGTCTGCGGCTGGACACTAATCGTTCACTGAAGTCAGGAGCAAAATGCCCTAGGACACTCATGTGACTTTTCACCATGAGGAGGATCTTCTCTGCAGAACACATACACACTCACGCACACACCATCGTCAAGGCACAGCACACACTCCCAAACAAATCCCTCTGAAACACAAACAGTAGGCAGTGAACAAAACCATAAGTGATGAAAAAAATCAGTTTGCAGTATTGATATTTTAATTGGATGTTACATCACACCCATTGCATAAATACACCACTATTACTACAGGATGGAGACACCATTGAGAAAGAGTTTAAAATAGCAGATTATTGATGGATTCAGGCTTTCCCTCACACATTACTAACATGTTTAACAGCTTGGGATATTTCCATCCACGGGCTAAACTCATTATCTGTTTCAGTCCAAACTATGTCAGTACTGTGCAGCTCAGTTTCACAGGAACAAGCTGTCAGATGTGTCCTCACTCCTACAATTATGGACTGCTAAATACAGTGTATTCTGCGTTAATTAAACAGGAAATTAATGTATGCATACTTGCATGTACTTTTAGTTGTGTCATAAAAATGTATATCTTTTTGTTCAGGGCTAATGGGAACAGCTCAAGTGTTAATGCATTGTGTAAAATTTGAGAAATACATCTGCATTTTAACAACATGATAACACCTCAGCGCTTGTCTCATCTGGCCTGTTCAGATATTTCTGTTTTGATTTGCTCAGAAATGATGAGTGAAGTGTCTCCAAACCTCAGTCTGTGATTTAGATCCACTTTTGAAGTGCTATTACACCTTAGCTCAAGCCTCTGAGGATAAAAATGTTTTTGTGGATAATGTCAACACTGACACTTGAACATCAGCTGCAAAAACCCACAGAAGAGCATCATTACCCGACAGCTGGCTCAGAGATCTTTAGAAAATGCCTCTCTCCTGTGACCTGAAATCGGCTCCCTGATATCAGTTAGTACACGGATCAATGCTCTGATCTGATACCATAATTCATGGGGTCAATCTAAAACAACTTTTTTTTCTTGTCTTCTTTTACAGAAACTCTCAAAGCAGTAACATATCCCTGCTGGACATAGTGGTAGAGGAGAGAAACCTTTTATTTTACACATGTATATCTGAAGTTAGAGAGTAAGGTTAGGTGTTTGCCTTTTTGTTGAGGTAAGAAAGTTTTGGTTAAAGAGCTGGTTTCTTCTCCTGTTATTTTGGCTTTTACACTTCTTGAGTTTTTTTTCTGTTAAAATAGAGCTTAAAAATTAATTAAAATTCATTTGGACAGCTGATCTTTCGTGGTTGTCCTTAGGGTGATTTTGGTGTTACACTCTGGTGTCCCCCAGGCCAGGTTCAACACATCAGGACAATGCTACAGTCCACATCCACTTCTTTTAATTTGCCTTCACCTGGAAAGTCTGTCTCAACTATCCCCAAAACTATTATCTGCAACTGTGACAGAAATATTAACATTAGATTGTGTTGGGGTCCTTGTCACACCTTTACAGTTTCAATCCACTATGACAACCCGCTCACTATGCATTATCCCTGTATGGTGATCACATTCAGCAACAAAGTATGAACAACAGCAGTTTCTGTGGGTTTGTGGGGGTTCTGTGCTTGATTCAGTTTAATATCAAGGAGAGAGAAACTGTAAATGAAGATGTAGCATGAAACAGTCTGCAGTAATAAGAGTTGCACAGGCAAACAGCTTAGATCTGGTTCTTAAGATTATAGACTCAGTAAAATCTGACAGCCACTCACCTATATACAGCGAGGAGTCCTTTCTGTGAACGTGGTCGTCGATGTACGACACTCCAAGAGGCTGGACTGGCGTGGCTCCGATGCCCAGCAAAACTTGGGCTCCGATCAGCAGAAGGTACATCATGTTGGTGTTGGCTCTGTTGCCACATTTAAACCCAGAGTCTCGGTTCTCTGATCTGGAGATGTTTGAACAGACATCCCTGCCATCCTCGGCGTGCCACGAGTCCCCGGCCTCATACTGGTACTGGTGAGTCAGAAACTCTGGAAGCGCCGACAGGAGGGCCCCCAGTGCCATGACGATTCCGCCACAGCCAATCAGGCGCGGTCTGTGGGCCTTGGCGCCAAAGTAGCTGACAAACAGGATGAGGGCCAGGTTGCCAATTTCAAAGCTACTTGCAATAACGCCCACATCAGCGCTCTGGAGGTTGAAGCGTCTCTCCAGAGTGGTCAAGACACTCACCTGGCAGTACAAAAGACAAAGTCAAAGTTTTACAGGGATAGTTTGGTATTTTTAGGGTGGTGACTGCGTGTGGTGCTGATTTACATTGAGTTTATTTTCTACAGTAGAAGCCAATCCACTCTGCTCCTGTTTGAAAAAGTTTTAAAAATATTGACACTGTGGCTAAACTATATATCTTTTAGTATTTTTACCAGTTAGCAGCCATCAAAAACCCTTTAACATGACATTTCCTTTCAAAACCTTTGCATAGTAAGTTGTTTAATAATTAACTCATTCATTTAGCACGATCCTTCCTGATGGTTGGGTTCTGCAGAGCTCTTTTTTCAGGTTCATTTCAATTTGGTTTGGCTTCAGACTTGTTAACTCTTATTAATGTTAAATAGCAGCCACTAATGCAGTCAATATTCAACACAGCAGGTAGTCACAGTATCAACACAACCAATTTGTACAAGGACAGTCTTGAACGCTTTAGAAAAACCAACCTGTTTTATCACTTCAATTGTTAAATCTCTGTAGTAAAAAAACTCCTCTTGGTTGCTAACTCACTGCCAAACTTTACAAGCAAAGTTCAAAACAAAACCTCTACAGGGATCAACACTGAATATCATCCAGAGTCTTTGTGTGTGTGTGTGTGTGTGTGTGTGTGCGTGTATGTGTGTGTGTGTGTGTGTGTGTGTGTGTGTGTGTGTGTGTGTGTGTGCGTGTATGTGTGTGTGTGTGTGTGTGTGTGTATATGTGTGTGTGTGGAAAAACTGATGCAATTACAAGAGCTCAAATTTAGTATAAGAAAATGACCAGTCTTCTCATGGTTTACCATTTTCTATTTGGGCCCTAAAAAGACATCAGTACAAGAGTGACACCGTCTAAAACAACAGTTCAATACTCCTCACATTGCCTTTAAGTGTCGAAATTATATTTCGCAGATCATCGTAGCCGGTTTTTAATAGTTTGGGAGACACTTAGACCCTCTGTTTAACTAAAAACTGCACAAGAGCAGAAAAAAAATCAAATGGTCACGTTTACAGATAAAATAAAACGAGGAAAGTGATACTTTATGACAAATCTGAGCCCATTTTAAGTTTGATGCCACAAAATGTTTCAAAAAGGTAAGTGCTAGAAACAGCTAGAGGAACATCTCCAAACTAATGAGGTTGATATGCAACTGGTGAGTAACATGACTTGGTATTATAGGGCACTGCAGAGAGGCTAAGTCTATTAGAAGTAGACATAAAGAGAAGTTCACCGGTCTGTGAGAAACTGTGTGAGCAAATAGTTCAACAGTTCCAGAGGGATGCTCTTCAATGTTCAACTGCAAACAATTCTGTAGATTTGCTCAACCATGGTATCTATATGATAAAAACCTTCAGAGAATCTGGAGAAATCTCTGTACAAAAAGGAACCGACCCAAAAACCAATACTGGATGGCCCTGATCCTCGGGACCATCAGGCAACAACGCATCAGAGCAGACATGACTCCATAGTGGAAATCAATGCACGGACCAAAAACCACCTCAAACACTACTGGACACAGTGTGTCCTCAAATTCAAATAAAATATGTACAATTCAAAGAGGAAACCATATTTAGACATGATCAACAAACTTCTCTGGGTCTGAGTCCATTTAAGACGGACCAAAAAACTGAAATTCACAGTCCTTTTGGAAATCATCAACTTCTTTTCATGGACCACCAGACTTCAGTGGCAAGAGTGGCCCTCCTTGAGTCCTAACGTGTTACTTATTCAAAACATGAAGCACATCTTTAAAGTAAAATGTGAAAAAGTTGACCCTTAGCTGTTGAGCAGCTGGGATCCTGTATGAGGCAAGAATGGGAGATTTCACCTCTAAAACCACAGACACCAGCCGCCTCAGTTCCCAAATCTTTACAGAGTGTTGTTTAAAAAAAGATGTGCTGCAGAATAGTTGTTTATGTTACCTGCCCAACCTTTTTTAAAGCATCATATCTAAAATAAGCATTTTTTTCACTAAACAATAAAGTCAACATCTCACACAGCATCCCAACAATTTGAAGCCAGGGCTGTATTTTCTGGTCCACTTAGATGGCAGGGTTAAATATGAACTGAGGCCAGCGTGCTGTTATTGATCATAGCTGCTGTTATTCATAAAATGCAGGTATGAGCAGCCATCTGCCCCTCCAAGCAACAACAGCAACCTGTTGATGTCACATAGTAGCCAAGCAGCACTGCAGGCCGAGCTGCTTCCTCTTCCTCCTCCTCCTCCTCCAAAACAAGCCTAAGGCGATCCTGATGCCAGTCTGGGGAAAAGGGAAGTATGCATGTGTGCGGCTTTAGGCTAGAAACCTCACACAGCTGTTCTCATTATAAATGGGACACAAACATGCCGTAACAGCTGCGTTAAGGGTGTGTGTGGGTGAAAAATGGCTGCTTGCATCAAACCTGTGCTCCATCATCTCCAGGAGTTCAGATAAAAGGACAGCCAGGAGTTATTTTAAACTTTTATTAATGATTCATCAAAGGAAACGGTGCAGTGTGAGGCCTAGGACTTTAAGGAGAGATATGCAGATAAAATGGAGAACCTAACTATGACTATGCAAAAAAAAGAAATCACATTAAGGCCTCTGCATCTCTCCTTTCCATGATGATCCAGTCTGAAGAATGATATGATGCAAATAGATCAATGAAATTAGCTCATTTTAATAATATACTATCAAGGTGTGCCAGTACTTAATTTCCCCATGAGGCACAAATCAAAAGTAATTAATTTTCAAAATGAGAGGAAAAAAACGTCAATAATAAATTTGTAATAAATATTTCTTGCTCATACTCAGTAACATGCAGTCTGGTCGACATGTTGTAAATCAACTCCAATGTATCAGCTGGAATGTGTCTGAAGCCACAGATTTTCTAGTTGGTTAAAAAGAAATTTTAGGTCCACCTCGCTGACTGGTCTAGAGGTAAGAAAAAACACAGAGAGTAGTCAAATTTTCAGCACAATGTCCCCACCACAACTAAATACTAGTTCACAAAGTCTGTGGATAAACAATGTTGTAGGGCTGCATGATAAATCGATTTTATATCACAATTGGATTATTTGATTTTAAAAAAAAACAAACAAAAAAAACTTAAATTGTCAAATCGATTTTCCTCTCTATCATGTCTCGGCATTATAGGCTCCCCCTTCCAACAAGTCAGTCGTGTGGAATTAATTTGGCTTCGCAGTTTCGGATGAAGAGCAAACCACGTCCCGCTGCAAAGTCTGTCTGAAAGCGGTATCAACCAGTCCACACAGAAACAAATTCAGGAGTAAACACTTACGTTTTTCATTGTATCGGCATTTCATCCACATGAAAACGGCATTTCAGGTGACTGTAAACTCTACTTTTTGAAAATGGGTTAGAGAGTCCATGAATCATAAAAGACTACCATTTCATCTCTGTGTGGATGTCTATCTGCATCTCTTGAAACGATTGTGTCACACACAGTGTAACTCTTTTATGGTGCCAGCACGTGTCCGGCCAAAACATCCTTTATACGCATGCTCTGCTCTGTTCTTCTGTCTTTTGTGCATTTCCTCGACAGCATTACAGTGCCACTTACTGACTTGGCATATGCACTAACATCGTTTTCAGTAGTTTTGTTTTGAGAGATGACAGAAAAACATTTTATTTTTAAAGTGAAGTTTGGTGAAGTTGTAACTGAATAAACAATTGAAATTGAAAATCAAGTTTGCAGAGAAAAAAATCAGGATCTTATTTTTGGGCCAAAAAATCGTGCAGCCCTACAATGCTGTTAGCAACATCTGCCTTCAGTTCTACTTAAAGGATAACATCCCAATGCTGTGCTGGTTACACATCGTCCTTAACCAGACTCAACCTTCATACAACGTGTCTCAACCTTTTTAATGTAATACTTATAATCCATGCTATGCTCCAAAGTGCCATCTGCTGTCTGTGTTTGTTTTACCCCATGTTTTAGTGCATTATAGCTCCATTGCAATGGTCGTTAACTATAGCTAGAGCCCTGGTTACGAACAGTGGACTGACCCAAATTTGAAAAAATATACATATATATACACTCACCGGCCACTTTATTAGGTACACCATGCTAGTAACGGGTTGGACCCCCTTTTGCCTTCAGAACTGCCTCAATTCTTCGTGGCATAGATTCAACAAGGTGCTGGAAGCATTCCTCAGAGAGCTTGGTCCATATTGACATGATGGCATCACACAGTTGCCGCAGATTTGTCGGCTGCACATCCATGATGCGAATCTCCCGTTCCACCACATCCCAAAGATGCTCTATTGGATTGAGATCTGGTGACTGTGGAGGCCATTTGAGTACAGTGAACTCATTGTCATGTTCAAGAAACCAGTCTGAGATGATTCCAGCTTTATGACATGGCGCATTCTCCTGCTGAAAGTAGCCATCAGAAGTTGGGTACATTGTGGTCATAAAGGGATGGACATGGTCAGCAACAATACTCAGGTAGGCTGTGGCGTTGCAACGATGCTCAATTGGTACCAAGGGGCCCAAAGAGTGCCAAGAAAATATTCCCCACACCATGACACCACCACCACCAGCCTGAACCGTTGATACAAGGCAGGATGGATCCATGCTTTCATGTTGTTGACGCCAAATTCTGACCCTACCATCCGAATGTCGCAGCAGAAATCGAGACTCTTCAGACCAGGCAACGTTTTTCCAATCTTCTATTGTCCAATTTCGATGAGCTTGTGCAAATTGTAGCCTCAGTTTCCTGTTCTTAGCTGAAAGGAGTGGCACCCGGCGTGGTCTTCTGCTGCTGTAGCCCATCTGCCTCAAAGTTCGACGTACTGTGCGTTCAGAGATGCTCTTCTGCCTACCTTTGGTTGTAACGGGTGGTTATTTGAGTCACTGTTGCCTTTCTATCAGCTCGAACCAGTCTGGCCATTCTCCTCTGACCTCTGGCATCAACAAGGCATTTCCGCCCACAGAACTGCCGCTCACTGGATATTTTTTCTTTTTCGGACCATTCTCTGTAAACCCTAGAGATGGTTGTGCATGAAAATCCCAGTAGATCAGCAGTTTCTGAAATACTCAGACCAGCCCTTCTGGCACCAACAACCATGCCACGTTCAAAGTCACTCAAATCACCTTTCTTCCCCATACTGATGCTCGGTTTGAACTTCAGGAGATTGTCTTGACCATGTCTACATGCCTAAATGCACTAAGTTGCCGCCATGTGATTGGCTGATTAGAAATTAAGTGTTAACGAGCAGTTGGACAGGTGTACCTAATAAAGTGGCCGGTGAGTGTATGTTCTACAGGCGAGTAGTTCACATACTGACCAGTTAGGGTAATTACCAGGGCTGCAATATTATACCATGACTGGCAATAAAAGTCTTTTCTTAAAAAAAGAAACAGTGAAATACTGCAAACAAGCATATGCAACTAATGTAGCTAATGGATCATAGTGGTATAATAAATGTAGTAGTGGTATTATAAATGTAGTAGTGGTAGTAGCCTCACGGTTTGAAGCACCACATGTTTAGAGGCTGCAGTCTTGGTCACAGCAGTGGTTTTTTAGATTTCCAGCCTGAAGCCTTTGCTGTGTGTATTCCCTGCTCACTACTCCCCATATTTCCCAACTCTCTCCAGTTTTTAAAGGCAAAAGAAAAAAAACACACCAAAAAATCAGCACAAAACTACGGCTAAAAATAAAGAAAAAAGATATTAAAAAAATCAAGTAATAAATTTGTTTGTCTTTATTCATTTGATTGTAATTAATGATAGTTGTTACCTGAAGCTAGTACTTACATAAAGTAAATGGCATTTAGTGGAAACAATTGTGAATCTGTTAGTTGCTCCACTATTGTCTTGCCTTTCCTAATTTTGACCAAAAACATTTGCTTTTTTGTTGTCTTAAAAAATCAGAATAATATTACAATGACTGCTCTTCATCATGTGCAGTGAAAAGCTTTTATTGTGACAGGCACAGCAGTGACTTTTGAACATTACTTGGTTATACATATGCACATATTTCTAGCTGGAACCAAGCAGAATTTAGAATCACATCCTGAGTTTTTTTTTTAACAAAGAAAATATAAATATATATATATATATATATACACTACAGGCCAAAAGTTTAGAAGCAAGGCCATTACAGGCCAAACAGTTGGGAGTAACTCCGAGTTTTTGTTTCTTTTCTTTTTTCTTTTGATCCAGCACGAGTTTTCTGTATTTTGGGATGTATTTACTCCATGATCAGATGTTGCTTTCATGGAAATGCACCATTTTACTCCATTTACCTTTAGATATACATTGATGTTAACAGACCATTGCTAAATATATGCCAGCAAAAGATAATAAGGGCTTAGTTTTAGGGTTGAAAACATTTGCAAGAGTCACAACTTCAGTGCAAAAGCAAAAAAACAAATCACAGTTGGATTATTCACTTCAACTTTTTGGCTTTTGAGAGTCTGCATACAAAAATCCTAATAAATCTCAACTGCGTTCAAACTACCGCAAAAATGGCTAGAAAGAAGCAACTGAGTAAAAAAACAAAAGTACAGATTTGTACATTGAGGAAAGATGGATACACAGAAAGAGAAATTGCAAAACGCCTAAAGGTGTTTAACAAAGGAGTCCACTACACTCTGAAGAGACTAGAGGAACCTGGAAGTTATGATGATAGAAGAAGACCTGGACGAAAGAGAGTTATGACAAAAGCAGAGGATAAACGTAGCATTGTCACCAGTAAGAGAGATCGGCAAAAGACAGCACCAAAAATAAGGGAGGAAATCAACATGACAATGTCGAAACCCATATCTCTGACAACTGTGAAAAGATGTTTGAGAACGGCTGGTCTGAAGGGTTGTGTATCTGCAAAAAAACACTACTTCGTCCACAGAACAAGAAAAAGAGATATGAGTGGGCAAAAGCTCACAAAAATTGGACTTATGATGACTATTAACAAGTTTGCACTGTTTGGTTCAAAATGCAGAGTCTATGTCCGCAGTCAAACTGGTGAACGTCTGAAAGCATCATGTGTTACACCCACAATTCAGCATGGAGGTGGTAGTTCCATGGTATGGGGATGTTTTGCAGGTGATGGAGTAGGAGATTTGTTTGAATTAAAGGGTATCATGTAGAAGGGACAGTACCACTCCATCCTCCAGCACCATGCTGCTCCATCTGGACTCAGACTTGTGGCTCATAGGTTTGATTTGCAGCAAGACAATGACCCTAAGCACTCTGCCAAGCTCTGTCAGGGTTACCTAGACAAAAAAGAAGAGGAAGGTGTTCTTCAAAAGATGGTTTGGCCTCCTCAGTCTCCAGACCTTTCTTAATTGAGCTTGTGCGGGATGAATTGGATCGATCAGTCAGAAAAATGCGTCCCACGAATCAGCAGTCTCTTTTTAATGAACTTAAGAAAGCTTGGATTGCAATCCCTGGAACATACCTTAAAAAACTTGTGGAACGAATGCCTGGTATATGCCAAGTTGTTGTTAAAGCCAGAGGAGGTTACTTTAAAGAAAGCAAAGTCTAAGCAACAATAACTCAAATACCTAATAATTAGAGCCAAAATGTGTTCTGATGAGTTACTCTTAACACAATAGTCATGTTTATTGTGTTGCAAATTATATATATGAAACTATGGTCTTTTTTTTACAAATCTGATCTTGCTTCCAAACTTTTGGCCTGTAGTGTACATATAAATATATTCATTACACAGAGTTTTATGTTTCATCTAATCCATTAATCTGCTAATCAGCTGGCTGACATACTCTTGATAACCACCTAAACCCTTTTTAATGAATATGGAGTCGAGTTGAGACTGTTTTATCCTAAAAACTAAGATTATGGGTGGTAATAAAAACCCAGTTTTGATCAATAATATGACTTCCTTTACATTTGAAAGAGAATAACTATCCCCACCATCTCAGGCCTATCTCCACTAAAACACAATCAGAGGTTTTTGTAGAAACCCAAACAGCCAGAAGACTGCCAGCGCTCCACCCCCAACCCCATCCCCTCCCAGACTTCCGAAAAGGGTGAACACTGTGTTATTCACTTCTAAAAAAGGATGATGGCTGTCACGGGTCTATTATTTCAACAGTGAGACACTAACCTAGTTCTGTCACCAACCAGCACAGCACACACTGTGCAAGTGATGGATAAAAGACACTACAGCCTGACAATTAGATTATTTCAAAAGGTTTAACATAAGTTCAGTTTGATGAATATCGGCAAAGTCATGGCAGGCTGCTCCCCCCTCAAAAGCTGATGATCAGTCTGTATGGTATCTGGAGATTTACTGTATTTTACTAGCAAAAGAAATAATGTGCTGCTGAGAAGAGAGAGTAAAAAAAAGACAGGGTGTGATCTGAGTTTACAGAGGATAAGAGATGATGAAACGGACAATATTTCACACAGCAGAGGACAGGCGGAGCTCCTGCTCAGCTTCTGTCTGCTGCAGGATTTGCCAAAGGTGCACTTTTGGTTTGTGAAGCTGTTTTTAAGCAGGAGGTTTCACTGCAGTCTTCAAGGTAAACGCTAATGCTCTTTAAATTTGTGACTGGCGCAAAACACATTAAAACCAACCTAGGCGTGGTTTTCGTCAAACTGCAGTCCTCAGCGAGCCACTGACAAGTCCTAGCAAGGCCTCTTTTATGACCCCGCCACAGGAAAATGAGACAGAGGATGGTATCTCTGGATGATGAGGATGTTACATGGTTGATTTCTTCACAAAATTCAAGGATTTGTCTTGTATTTCTGATCTCAAACTGTGAGCAATGACTTGATTCAATAATGTCAACTCACCGACCTTTGACCTTGCCTGTTAATCAAACTCCTGTCAACTCAGATAGGTACTTTGTCAACTGAGTGTCTCTCATGGGGAGTCAAATGGAGCCATCATGTGCAGTTATTTATAGCATCAGGTGAATCATGTGTCCGATTTAGGTGGTGTCATTTACCTTCAGATAGATTTACATCTGCAGAGGAAACAAGTTTCATAGCCCCCCCACAGACATGACCCTCAAAATTAAATCAGCAGCTCATTGATGGCTTTGAAATCTATCAAAATCATACATTCAGTGTTTGAAGGTTTTCTTTGTGTTGGCACCAGTCGTAAAAGGTAACTCATGTAATTTACTCATATTACTGCATCTCTCTAACACAGTATAACATAATCATGCAGGTTTTGGCCCAATTCCTCCCTTACAAACTAACCTAACTGCAGATAGGTCTTAAGATTGTCAACCTGTGGTATGAGGTGTGTTAAGAGTTTTTTTTTCTCCCCCTCTGGTCAGCATATAAAGGTGTTTTCACACCTGAAAGTCTGGACCTAGGTCAGACTAAGAAACTTTGCATGACGAACCTACATGATATCGTCATCAACAACATGCTTTGCGTGTCTCTGTAGTTTACACTGATTGGCCATTAGATCAGCAGGCGTCTGATGTCAACATGTTGAAAAGCGCAGGTCTTGAATGGAGAAAACATGGATGAAATTGTCATTCCCACCATTGTACTATTTTTGATTTTCTACCTTCAACAGCTACAACTTGAGGAGCTGTATATGAGGCTGGTCCAAGGAAGTCTCATGAATTTGATCATCAGCCGACAACTTTATCGACATCAACGGGAAAGGAGAAGAAAGTATACAATCCTTCGAGTCATTGCAACACTGGCTCCAAATCAAAGTATGTGTAATAAAACTCTGGAAAAGATATTTCTACTTTTCGCATCATTTCCTGTCTTTGGTGCAAAGGTCAGGACCTTTCAAAAATAATGCTTTCACACTGGATATGAACCAGACCATGGTTCAGTTTGGTGCAGACTGAGACCACCTCTTTTGGTCGGACCAAGGTCCAGCTGTTTGGTCTCGACCAAGGTTCAGACTAAACACCAAAGCTACCTTGGTGTGAAAGCCCCCTAAGACAATCTGAGCCACACCAACTCTATATCATGAACACTAAACCCAATACTGATACTGATGATCAGAAATCCAAAAGGTATAGAGAGAATCCCAAGGACGACTAAGCGCTCACTCTGTCCATTGTCACCAGGAACAAAATGATAGCTAGGTGGGAATCAAGCTGACTGGTGAAAGCAGCACAGCAAATCCAGCCATGGTTAAGTTAGTAAACACAAAACATAAACCTGGATGGACCTCAAAAAAATAAAACCTACATGATGTCACATGGCAACAACAAAAATATTTACACAGTGTGTTCAGTAAGACATACCACAACTGAAATGATGGGTCAAAGAGAGGCTGCTACTGTAAAGGATGGAGCTGTCAATGGTCAGAGCTGAAAAAACATCAAGCATTACAACGACGTTACCCTGAGATGCTGGTTGCATCTTTGTCAACACACAGCTGGAAAAGTTTTTAAAAATGAGAAAGTAGCATGGACGCAGATAGCACTTAATGCAGACAAGTGCCAGAATGAACCCTGCACCCCTAATCCGGGATTCCCACTGGATCCGGAACGGCTCCGCTCCGGACCGGCAGGCAGATCAGATGCACAGGCATACAGTGCCCACCATCGGAGGAGAAGCGCTCACAAGATTGCCGATATTTCTCATGAGACTGGACGAGATCTTGCGTGTTTCCCCGGGAGTCATAGAATGAGATCTGCCAATCTGTGTGTATAAACGGCGGTGTATATAAACACCCATGGATTGTGTGGAATCACACACATTGATTATAATGCTTGCGTATTAGATGCATACCATGCCGGAGCGGAGTGGAGCCATTCCAGATCCTGTGGGTTTTGCCCGTAAACTAACTCAGCCTGTTAGAGGAATATGCTGTTCGTATTTCAGTGGATGGTTCAGATCCTCAGTGGGGAAAATATGATGAATTTAAATGTCCTTCATTCAAGCCAAGACAATTTCTTCATGTCATCATCATAATCATGAAAACCTGTATTTGTCTCTGTTTTTGATATAAGTGATATTTTCAGCTCTTCATCGTCTCATCTTTTGACAAACATCAGCTAGCATTGGTTAGCTCATGTAGTACGCCATGGTTGTTCACTCTGAAGTCACATTTGACCTTAAGAGTAGATGAGATTTCCAGCAGTGACAGTCAGGGTCCTGGTGCGGTGTTCAATCCCCCTTTGCACACTGCACACACTACAGCAACAAAACTGAGAAATATGTCATCATTTGTCAACATGTGTGTGATGAGATTTAACATTAAGGCCTGGTCTTTCTGCTTCTTGCAAATTTAAACATCACAGCAGAGGTTTCATCATGAGGTCTCATCGGGTGATATTAGTTTTGCAGCCTATGTACATCACTTTTTCTGAAAAGCTAACAAACTGGCAGACTTTTAAGTTCTCTGTTCATTATACTGAGTCCACATAACTTGATTTCTGAGACAGAGAATGTCTATCTGTTATCAATCAGCCTGAGAGCTACTGAGTACTACCTGACCAGGCACAGATGATAATGCTCTAACATGCATACAGAAATAACACAGTACAACCTCAACCAGATCATGTAAAACTGGTCAGCTAACTATTTAATACAACATGTTCACCAATCAATAACCTGTTCAGATTGGTTAATCAGAACACACACAATAATTTGTTTCTGTGTGAACTTGTGCTTGTTTGAGTGGTTTTAAAAAACTTTTTCCTTTTACTCCCACTTTTTTAAGCACTTTGCTACATTTTGTGCAGCATTAGTTACTGAGGTTTACAATACAATACAATTCAATACAACACAATACTATTTGATTTGATTTGATGGTATTATGCAATAGGATGATATGGTTTACAATATGATAGGATACGTTTTATTGTCCCCTCTGAAATTTTGCCCTGGACTCAAGTGCTGTTTATGTATCATTACTGCCACAATAATACCAATAAATAAAACAAAGCCTTATTCAAACAGAGACACAGATACCAAGGAAACCGTAACAAACCACAGATTCCCCACACATGTTGCACAGAGAGAATTTAGTACTTTAATGCTCCTGTGTGGACTTTTATTTTTTATTTTTTTATTTGGGGCTCAATGTGAATGAGGTGATATTTAGCAAGACCGTTGAGGGGGGGCTTCTTGGTAAAGTTTATCAGTTTATCACTTGGTTAAAGGTAAAAAGAGATTTTTGTTCAACATGCTGTTGATCAACTAGTCTGACACCGACCTACCTCTTTGTCAGTCATTATAAACTATATTCAAAACTGTTTTTGCACTTCAAACAAAAGTAAATGTTTTACTACAGGAGATTAACAGAGTACTAAGGTAGACAGCAGAAGTATTACCTCTGCTGTAGAAATATTTCATTACTTTTACTTTAGCAGGATTATTTTAGGAGGCCTGCTCTTTCCACCCCTGGTTACCCCAGATGCTTCAGATTCACCTCTGCATCTCTGGTTGTGCCTGAAACGTCTTTCAATTAAACCTTTCTGTTGTCTTTCAGCTCTTAAATCTTTCTAGTCATCTTTTCATTCACCGCAACGATCCTATCTTTGTTGACTCAAACCTCATGGTAATCAATACCTGACATGCAGTTGAAAATAAAGCTCGTCCAAAAGGACTGTATGGGCCATATTTTGTGATGATCACGTCATTCATAGGCCCGCATCCTCCGGTGTCAAAGGCCTCCTGCATTATGTAGCAGAGCCGGCGTGCTGGATGGAGCCCCGGACCAGCGTTTCGTAACCTGCTCCCCAGCAGACCCTCCGTGTGCGCATATCAAATTCTCCAACAACAACGTGGAGCCGACGGCCGCCGTGACGCGCTTTGTGTCATGCAGATGGTGCATAGGCCTGATGGATAATACGCAGCAAGTCATCAATCAGAGAAAGCAGCGCGTCCCATGGCTGCTGGAGGATGTGATTATTCTAATGTGAGCAGAATAATGTGCTTATTAACCGCATCAGCTGAAGCAGCGCGTCGTTACTCACTGTCTGTCTGCCGGAGCCGGTTTGAAGGGCGCTGCGTTAACCCGATGTTACCTGAGATAAACTGAGACACACTGATCCCCCAGACCAGCTCTGTGTCCCTCTGTGCAAACTCACCAGATACGCTCCCACGGTGCCCTGTGCCAGCATGAGCGCACATTCCGACACCAGGAAGATCTTAATGTTGGAGAAACACGAGGTCTTCTTCTGGTTATCATCCTGCTCCGGGTCGTCGGTGGTGCTGCTCCTCTCGGTGCAGATCTGGTTTTTAACCTGCATCCTTCGGCTCAGGCTCCGGTCGGGTTGGACGGCACGAAACTGAACGGGTCCTGTCCTGCGGAGAGCATCTGGTTATAATGACGAGCTGCACTGCAGGAGAAGTGAGAATCTCTGCTCAGTAGCCCGTCTAGGCTGGAAAACACAGCGAGAAAGGCTGCTGTCCACTCAGCATTACGCACAGTCCGTCAGCGACCTCTCTTTACCGCCAGTCAAGCCAGTGCGTATCGGCTACATCATATTTAAATACGCAGCAGCGTCTGTACATGGAGCTATGACGGTTCCAAACACTCGACGTAAAGCTACAGGACGATGTTTCTTCACATCCGGGGTGTTACATCTCCACCCTGTACCGGTACCGACTGGATTTAGGTTCTGAACCCGGTTCCGAGCTGCAGCTCTGCGTCCTTCAGGCGGCGTTGTGATGCTCCTCCTCCCTCTTCCATCCGTAGACCAGAGCAGAGAGAGGGGGGTGTGATCTCCCTCTCTCTGCACCCCCCTCCCCCCGACTCCGTCAGCATGTCTCTAACCTCATCATTTTACCTGTGCAGACTCTGGGTTTCATCATCGCCACAGAAAAACACAAATAATTCATAAACACAGTCACGACCACTGAATAAAACACATCGGCGCATTCACGAAAATGACAAAGCGTTTCTTTTTTTTTGTCAATAACATAAGCTGTTTTCACTCCCCTGGTAAAAAAAAGAAAAAAATACAGAAGAATGTATTTAAAATAATATTTAGCTGACTTTCAAAAATGTTATCATTTTGAAGCCCGAAAACAACTTATTTTAGGCCATTTAACAAGTTGGGGTGTAGGCTACAAACCGGCTGCAATATAACCATTGAGAGGAAGAGCCTCCAATTTGAGCAGTATCTGGGCAGAGAAACTGACATTTTCATTAAAAAAGGTGTTTACAAAATATTGAATTGGATGATCTGCCTTTTCAAGGATAAAGGTGTACTTTATCATCTGCATCTTCCCTCTTGTCCGTAAATAAACCTAAACATTTTTATGACACTGCCTGTGATATGTGAAACTTTTCCTCTGTTCAAATCCACATTTAAGTGTTTTAAAATAAAGGTATCATCTGATCTCTTTTTTATTATAAACTGTGACTGACCCCTCTGAATCCAGACCCCAGGGATGTTTCACTGGTGTGAATTACTGGTGTCAAGATGAGGTGTTAGACTATGGGTTGTTCTGAAAACACTCCCAGAAATGGTAAGATATTCATGGACCTGGATGTTAAATGTGATCTAGGTAGTGCGACCCTCTTTAACACCCCCCACCCCCCTCCAGCCAGCTGCACAGCTGAGCTTATTTGCACTCAGAGAAGGTGATAAAAAGGTAGTGCAGAGGCTCTCCTTCAGACTCCATGGGTGGCACCTTTGCAGTAGAGAGGTTTTTGTTGACTTCATCAAGTTATTTGGTTTTCCAGATTTTCCATGCTCCATGTTGCAATAATGTTAACTCTTTTAAGCCTCGATAGTTGAGGTGAGATGTGTTATTGTGTTAGCCTTGAAGTCAAATAATGTGCAGTAAAGGTGTGTCTCTGTAAAGATCCCCTTCAAGATGTAATCAGACTCTTGAACTACAAGTCTGATCCTGTCACTGACGGAATTAGCAGATGTCAGAGTCACACTCTGGCTGGTTGAACTCTTCTTATTTAGTAAGTGTTTCACCTCATTATCTATTAATTACTCATATCCTAACACTATAGACTGAACTCATTTTGTTTCACCATTACATGAGCTGTTGTTGTTGTTGCTGTTGTACCTGCTGTCCCCTGTCTCTCTCTCTCACCCTCGTTCTCTGCTCTCTCTCCCTCCCCCTCCCTCTCCTTACTCATTCTCTCTCTCCTCCCCCTATCTTGTTCTCTCTCTCTCTCCCCCTGCCCTCTCCCCTCCTCTCTCTCTTCCCCTCTCCCCTCTTCTCTCTACATTCCTCCCCAACCCAGCAGCGGCATGGTGGCTGTCTAGCATGAGTCTGGTCCTGCCCAAGGTTTCTGCCTGTTAAAAGGAAGTTTTTCCTTGCCACTGCTACTCATGTTAGTTGAGATGGGCCAAAACCCATCTTAGGTTGATTCTTGATCATCAAACAATGAGTGTGGTCTAGACCTGCTCTTGTTCTTTGAAAAGCATCTGGAGATGATGACTGTTGTGAATCGGCGCTAAATAAATAAAATTTGATTTGATTGATGATTATCTGATACCTTGTGCTGCACCTAATATAACTCTTCAGATGTTGTTTAAAGAGACTCTTAGTGTCCATGTAACTTCACAATGGTTTTAAAGATTCATTACAGAGCCAAGGGTCTATGCTGTGTTCTTGATGTGTCTCAGCTTTTATCTGATTGTTAAATGGTGTTGTGAAAAAAAAGACGGTTATTGGTCATTTTGAACCAGCTTTATTGACCTGCATTGATTTGAACAGTTAAGCTAACTGTTTTTTTCTGCGTTTTCTGTTCAGCAGCTTCTGTCTCCTACATAACAACTCTGAAACATCAGCTTTGGAGCTCAGCATCCGTAGAGCAGGTTGATCCTCCTGATGTCCCAGTAGGACATGCCCCTCCTCTGGCCGATCTGGACCTTAGGGTCTGGGATGGGGGTGATGGAGTCTCTCCCGTTGATGGAGAAGGCTGTTCTTCCATAGTGCATGATGGAGGAGTAGTCGTAGGGAGTGTTGAGGTTGTTGGTGGACTGCCTGTAGAAGTTGTAGGACATCTGTGAGTTGATGTTCTGCCAGTTGATCCGGACGTAGCGGTCTCGGTCACTCCTGGTCTGTTCGTGCTGGAAGCCCAGAGCGTGGTTGATCTCGTGCTGGATGATGCCGTGGTAGAGGCAGCCCCGCCTGTTGAGAGAGAGCACCTGTCTGCCTCCCTGTCTGCCCAGAGAGGAGAAACACCCAGCTCTGCTCTCGATGCTGATGTGGTCGTACTGGTTGGTACGGGGGACGAAGCGGATGCAGGTTCTGCTGTGGTACACCTTCATGGCGTAGTCCATCATCCGCCTCTCCCTCCTGGTGAACTGGCCACTCACGGTGAAGGGGATCATCACCAGGCCATTGGAGGCTTTCCTCCACAGGCACTTCTGGTACCAGCACTTGATGGCGTTTCTGGTTCGGGGAGCCAGCAGGTCTCCTTCCAGCAGGATCTCGTCCGTGGCGTTGTTAGAGGTCAGGATCCTGGTGGTGATGTCCACACTATCAGGGACTTCTTCTTCTTCTTCTATGTCTATTTCTTCTTCCACATCTTTGTCTACTTGTGCTTCTTCTCCATTGTCTGTGCTTCCTTCCTCCTGGAGAGAAAGTGCCTGAGAGAGGCCGAGCAGGAGAAGCAGCAGCAGGCTGGCAGAGGGACTCATCTTCAGGGTGTCTCTGGAGGCTGTGGAGCTTCTGCGGAGAGCTGCTGTGGAGAGAGACTCCTTGAAGCTGCTTGATGGTGGACTCTGGTCAGTCCACGCTCTTTATACTCTCATCTACAGGTGTGTCTGCAGGAGGATTATGGGTTGGGGTCCTCTTTCTTAGGCCAAAATATACCTGCTGAGGGAGGACTCCACAGACAAACCCACTCTCTAAACATGGTTTGTTAGGCCTGAGCATTAGGAGGAGAAACAAGACTTTACCTGGTGGTCTTATGGGCTATGTTTCTCTGAACACTTTAAAATCAACAAGATTTTCTTTACTAAGCACAAGTTAACCTTAAACTTAAATGTCTCATACTTTTATAGATCTTCCATCGTTTATTAAAAAAAAAGAAAAAAAAACTTTTCAACGTGAACCATCAACCTAAAGCAGCAGTGACTTTTCACACAGTAACTCATCATAACTATCAATTTTACATACACAAATCAAAAGTATGAAATACTGTGAAATGTTGACAAAAACTGATTTGGCTAATTATTTAAACCCTACATTTAAGTTTAAACTGTGCAAAAAGCAGCATATCAAATGTTGAAGCTCAACAATATTTTGTTCATTAAAAATACAACCTCGTTTCAAAAACATGTTAAAAATGCTTAAAACACTGTGGAACATCCCCAACTCAACTACTCCTTGCAGACTACCTGAACAAATAGTGTACCAATTAGCGTACCTCCTCCACTCTGTCACTCCTCACTCCTCAGCATAAAATTGGTAGACACTGGAGTAACTGATATCATCAGGGATGCTGTCTTTACACTGCGCACTGATTACAAGCTGGCTGGTCCTTCTCTTCTTTAGAGGTGAGGAAAGGGGTCCATGGTTTACAAAAAGAATATCAGCATGATACATCAAACCAAAGGACAGTTTTCCACTTCATCTTAGTCCATCCTAAATGGACTGGTTTAAACAAGTTACAATGTTACAGTATCATTTAGCAATCGCTTTTATCCAAAAAGACGTACGAACGAGAACAACACAAACAAAGATCGAGACAAGAAGAAATAAGATCAGAAGGAGCCTTGTGCTGTAAAAGGCAATGTACAACACTGGGTAACAATTTTGTTTTTTATCAAGGAACATCAACAAAGAAGCAATCATCATAATTATCATCATCATCATTATCATCACCATAAAATAACTTGTCTTCCCGACAACATTACCAAGGTACAGAGTACTGGGTCACTCAAACGTTGAACACAAGTTCCCAGAGTAGAGCTGGACAGTAAGAGTCAACTGTAGCTGGAAGACTCTTTCAACCACTGGGGTCAACAGTGGAAAATGGTCTAGTTAAGTGCGTAGTGTTCTCTGAAGAGCTGGGTCTTTAGCTGTCTTTTGAAAGTAGAGAGCGACTCTGTGGTTCGAATAGACTCGAGTAATTCATTCAACCATTCCGAGACAATAGAAGTTGTCAAGTTACTAGTGTTCATATGTTTATATATATATTTCTAATTATATTTATATATGAACACTAATACCTCCTAATTTCCCAAAACTAATACCTCCTAATTTTCTCACTATTTACTGTGTTTCCCCACAGGTTTTCAAAAGGCTGTTGCATCACGATGTAACATTTTTTTTTCCTAGCTAACAGTAGACTAGCTCGTCTACTGTTAGCTAGTGAAATGCAGTTAATCAAATGAAAACTCTCCCTATCGTTTCACAATTTGCAAATGTAGATGATGTAGAACGTATATGTAGAGACTTCATCACCGAAGCATAAAGGTGAAAAATAAAGAAATTTAGTTTCAGTAAATTAACAAAGTTAACATCTTGCTGTGGCAGTTACTGCACCGATCTTCTGTGCATCAGCAGCACCATGTGTTGACAATAAAAACATTGGAACAGAAGGAGTTCAGCTCCTGCTGGCTGTACTGATGAGTTGAGGAGGAAGAGCTATATATATATATATATATATATATACAGTATATATATATATTTCAGGAGGAAGGAATACAAGAAACTACAGAAATACCAAGGGCTCAACGAGGAGCTAGAAAAAGACTGGAAGGTGAAGGCAACAGTAGTGCCTTTGGTCTTTGGGGCGCTTGGGACAGTAACCCCCCACATTGGAGAAGTGGCTCCAACAGATCCCTGGGGAAACATCAGACATCTCACTCCAGAAGAGTACTGTCCTAGGAACAGCAAGGATACTGCGCAAGACCCTCAAGCTCCCAGACCTTTGGTAGAGGACCTGAGCTGGAGTGGATGAACAGCCACCAAGCCTATTCTGGTTGAGAGGAGGGTGGGTGAGAGAGGAATATTATTTATGGTTTCCTCTTCCTATGCTGTGATTTTAACCTGCATCTTTGGATGCAGCAGTGAACTTTGTTCGCTGACAAAAGCTTTTGGAGGTGACTTTAAACCTGTGAAGTGAGTTCAACTTCAGAATCAGGTCTGGTTTGATAGTTGCAACTATACAGCATGAATGTCTAGACTTGTCCCTTTTGCAGAAATTTAAAAAGTAAGTTTTTCACTTTTATCATTTGATGTGCGGCTGTTGCAGTTTTTGCTTAAATGTTAGGTTTAATTGCTTACACCATATGTTTTTGTCAACACAGCATCCCCATTTCTCTTTCTTTTTTTAGACTTTTTTTTTTTTAGGGTTGTAAAATTAATTATTAATAAAGTGTCTTGGTGGAAATACTTACTGAGATAGGTTGATGATAAAAAAAAACAGAAACAAGTATTTTGATTGAGTTAATTTAATGAAAAAGAATTTGAATCTCTTCTTAAAGGAGAAGTTTGGTTTTGCGATGATTTTCAAACGCAAAGATGGATCTGTAATTCTCACTCTGTTAGCAAGATATAAGAAACCATGTTTAGAGAGTGGGTTTGTCTGTGGAGTCCTCCCTCAGCAGGTATATTTTGGCCTAAGAAAGAGGACCCCAACCCATAATCCTCCTGCAGACACACCTGTAGAGGAGAGTATAAAGAGCGTGGACTGACCAGAGTCCACCATCAAGCAGCTTCAAGGAGTCTCTCTCCACAGCAGCTCTCCACAGAAGCTCCACAGCCTCCAGAGACACCCTGAAGATGAGTCCCTCTGCCAGCCTGCTGCTGCTTCTCCTGCTCGGCCTCTCTCAGGCACTTTCTCTCCAGGAGGAAGGAAGCACAGACAATGGAGAAGAAGCACAAGTAGACAAAGATGTGGAAGAAGACATAGACATAGAAGAAGAAGAAGTCCCGGACAGTGTGGACATCACCACCAGGATCCTGACCTCTAACAATGCCACTGATGAGATCCTGCTGGAAGGAGACCTGCTGGCTCCCCGAACCAGAAACGCCATCAAGTGCTGGTACCAGAAGTGCCTGTGGAGGAAAGCCTCCAATGGCCTGGTGATGATCCCCTTCACCGTGAGTGGCCAGTTCACCAGGAGGGAGAGGCGGATGATGGACTACGCCATGAAGGTGTACCACAGCAGAACCTGCATCCGCTTCGTCCCCCGTACCAACCAGTACGACCACATCAGCATCGAGAGCAGAGCTGGGTGTTTCTCCTCTCTGGGCAGACAGGGAGGCAGACAGGTGCTCTCTCTCAACAGGCGGGGCTGCCTCTACCACGGCATCATCCAGCACGAGATCAACCACGCTCTGGGCTTCCAGCATGAACAGACCAGGAGTGACCGAGACCGCTACGTCCGGATCAACTGGCAGAACATCAACTCACAGATGTCCTACAACTTCTACAGGCAGTCCACCAACAACCTCAACACTCCCTACGACTACTCCTCCATCATGCACTATGGAAGAACAGCCTTCTCCATCAACGGCAGAGACTCCATCACCCCCATCCCAGACCCCAAGGTCCAGATCGGCCAGAGGAGGGGCATGTCCTACTGGGACATCAGGAGGATCAACCTGCTCTACGGATGCTGAGCTCCAAAGCTGATGTTTCAGAGTTGTTATGTAGGAGATAGAATTCAGTCAGCCTGGACAATAAAGTCAATGTGGTTCAATAAAGCTACTAAAAAATGAACAACTGTCTTACTTTCAATGATTTTTTTTCATAAAACACTTGAATCCCATAACAACAAACATTAAAATATAGACTGATGGATAGTAAGATCGCAGACATCTGAGAAGAATTTTTGACATCCTTTAACTATAACTTCTTCCTTTATTTACCATCAGATCATTGAAGGTGCAGGTCAAGGTATATGAAGTAAAATAATCACCGAGTTATGTCAGTCTATCAGCCAATGTGGTTCTGACTTCTGTCACTGAGACAGTCAGACTGTTTATGTCAAATGACTTCAACATTAAGAGGTTCTGGGCACAGCTGTATTGCACATTGCTTGACTTTCGAGCTAACACAATACCATATTTTTATACCTCACGGTTATCAATGCTCAAAAAATTCCAATTTCAAAATTATCATTCATTTGTTAAACTCAAAAGATCTTGGTATTTCCGTAATTTTCACCACTTCCTGGAACCACCACTTGCACAGTAGCGTTGTATGCATTTGGCGGGAAAGTCGCTGTGATGATGCTCTGCTCAAACAGCGTATTCCCTTGGTGAGCTACGCAATCTTCGTACAGCTACCATGTCGGATTGATAGTGACTAGCGGCAGTAAACGCCAGTTCTGCCAGCGAGAACCGTCTGCAGCTGCCTGGACAGCTACCGGGTTGACTAGCACAAAGAAGACCAGTGTTAAGCTCAAAAGCAACAACAATGAGGGTTTAGGCCACGAGTGAGGAAAGTCTGGAAACTGTTGAAACCTTGAACTGCCTTTTCTTAATTTGACTTCTTTTTCTATTGAGATTTTTACAAATGAATGATAATTTTGAAATCTGGAATTTTTTGAGCCTTGATAACTGTGAGGTATAAAAATGTGGTATTGTGTTAGCTCGAAAGTCAAGCAATGTGCAATACAGCTATGCCCAGAACCTCTTAATGTTGAAGTCATTTGACATAAACAGTCTGACTGTCTCAGTG